TTCTACACAGCTTCGTTAGTATATTCTATTTTATACTACCTATGTATATTGTATAATATATTGTGGGTATATACTTTTTGCATATTATTACTAAAATAAGGACATCGTGATCGCGTAACGATATATTAATTAATATAGCAATTCATTCTCCCAACCATCCGGTTGGGGGATGGGGAAGGATTGCTTTATGACATGATCCGAAGGGCATTTCCGTAGCACAAACTACGGGTCCGCTCGCCACATAGTAATAACGTGATACCATTTTGAAATTACGAACGCCAGACGAGCGTGTGTGGTTCACCCGCAGGCTCGTCTCGTCACGTCTCTCACACCTCCACCGGACGACGGAGTACGACATTTGCAACACGGACACAGCAGCATCCTCCACACCGCCGTCCGCCCGTCTTTGGTGCGAAAAGTGCAGCAGACATTATAGGTACTATTACCACCGTGCGTATTGCTACAACACAATAATAACGATATGACATATCGGGGATACTCTGCACCGTCTTCGGGTTTAATAGCTCGACACCGTTATAGTGGCGATCGGGTCGTTCCCCTCCTAATGTCCATTTTTCACCCCGTAAAAATGTTATACGAAATTTCTGCACGTCGTGTACCACTCACTGCGGACGACGCGAACACACTAGGTACCGTATGACGCTCGTTACAATATGCAATACGTTATTATAGCCTCCGCGCTGAACCGCTCGTTCCGCCATAGCGTAGGGACGCGGTCGAAAAGGTTACGGCGCCTGATGAGACGCGAATGCGGTCGCACCTGACAGGGTTTCCACACAGCCCATTCACCTCTCCCTTAAATCCACCTTCTCCAAACCCGACCAATACACGCACGCAGTGGACGAGCGCGCACTTACACTCACACCTATATACACGCATACTTTAATTTATACGTGTTCACACACACAAGTGCGTTATCATATATATATACGTACTGCACGTACATATTATATGTATATATACGTCATACATCCCCCGGGGGACGACCGCCGCCGAGACGCTCGAGAGACAGCAGCTGGTCCCCCGCTGCATTTGTACCACCAAAAGCAACCGCCACCCATTCCTACCCGCACCCGGCCGATATAACTCTGTCTTCCTTCGTAATTGTAACACACACACACATTCAAATGTATATATATACGCGCCTCTAACGGTCGCACACGCACAAACCGGCATCGTCGACGACGCTGACGCCGCGCCCGTCTATCAGTGTATATATATATATTTATAGTGTACCCCCAAGAGACCGGCTGCGACGACGACGACGACAACCACAGTTCGTACTACACTATACTGCCACTACTACTGCGACTGCTATACGACTGTTACTATATATTATTATTATTATTATTATTATTATTATTATATACGTAGGTATAGCTGTAGTATACTTGTACTAACTATACTGCTACTATACAAATGGTACTACACGCGAATCGGAACGGAAAAGTTTGTTACTTCCACTACCGCCACGCGTCCTGTTAGCCGTCTAGTCGAGGTACGTGACGGCACCTGGGTGAAGAGGGCGGTGGCGCCTCGTCAGGGAAAAACGACGACTACCGTACCCCCCCCCCGTGCGGGCCGCAGTGGAGCTGAAGGCGTACTCGCGAGGAGCGTATACCGGCGGGAAAACCGAGCCGGCAACGCCGCGTCCCTAGAGACCTGACCGTGCCCGTTGAATTTCCCATTGAGTTACAATGGGAATTCATTTTGACCGATGTTCCTGCAGCCGCCACCACCCGCACTCAACTCGCTGACGGACATCCCAAAGTAATTATGATCTCGAATCGATTTTTATATTTGTAACATATATGTGTATATATAAAGGTATATATAACTGCACGTATAACGACGCAATAATTATGATTCGTGCACGCGAAAAATACTGTTCACACGTACCTACGTTACAGTATGGTACGTATATATTACCACACTATAGAATTGGGACAGCCAGGTGGTCGATCGCGGACGACTTCAAGATCCGCCTTTATTGGAAATTATTATTATACATTTAGTACATAAATATTATGTGAAATCCCAATGACAATAGTTGTTCATAGTTTTATGGCTTCTCAAAGGAAAAATATATTCTCTGCAAGTATTTATCGATAAAAGTTTGGCTACACCCGTTATGGAGGACGGAATACGTCTAGTGTTTAGACAATTGTTGGATGATTATATGAACAAAAAATTTAAGACGATATTAGTGTCACTTTTTGAGGGATTTTAAACAGACAATTTTTCAAAGAAATATATGGACAAGACAAGTAATGATTAGTAATATATTTATAAAAATAAATTAAAAGTGATCTCGCATCGGTCCACTAATTTTTGAAAATGATTTGTTATAAATGTACGCGAACCAAAACCATTGAATAAATATTTTCAACAATAAAACCATATATTAGTTATAAATAAAGGTACGCCACACTCAACGATAGTATATAGGTTGTGTCGAAAGAATTTCAAACGATATGATATTCAATCATATTAGCATATTATTGCAGTATATTTTCATGTAAAATATTATGAAGTTGGAGTGGAATGGTTTTCGCATCACAAAGTTTTCCAAGCGTCCCGTAATATTCGTAAATATACACACTGGTGATGGCAAATACCGCGTTCATGCTATGTCGTAGAAAATATAGCTGTTAAGAAATTCGACAATCCATTTATATACCTAGCTACAAAACTGTAAAAGATTGTGCAAAGGGTTGATTGGTTAATATTGTAAAAATACTTGTAAAATAAAAATGTGTTTTTATTATCAAACTTATCGTTGAACGCGTGTTATTCTATAGAACATAACTTATAATAATTAATAGTGTTTTATTCCCATATAACATTTTTAGATATTTACGTATATCATTATTTGCTGCTTGGACTCTCCCTCTATTATCAAAACCCTGGCTATAACTGATGTCTGATGATAATATTAACGCATGTTAACTGCTTTTTTACTGCACCTATCGTCCTAGTCCGTAATTTATTGTTACGTTGCAAGTATCAGTGACACATATACATACATACAGAATGTATATAGGACGAGTCTTAACGAGAGAATTCTTACGGAGAAGAAAATTTGACTTGACAGACAAATTACCTAAGCTTAGACTCATTTTATTATCCAATTTAAATAACTTATAACATATTTTATTGAATAAGGACATTTTTACATATTTTATCATATGTAAATGTGAAAGATTTTCAAATTACAATTTATCACATATTTATATGCTTTGTCGTTCGGTACCTTCCATCTTAGAAACGAATTTTTATGCAAATCGTCTAAATTCAAACACGTCAACAAATTTGTAATATACTGTAATAATGCAATGGAAATTTTTCTATTATTACACGACAACCTGTCTGAATGTGAACGTCTGCGTTATACTTATTTCATTCAACTATAAAATATTGCAATTGACACATGACTTTTAATCTAAAACCTCGTTTGAAATATTTGGATAATATTAATAAATTTAAATATTTTTATACTTAGGAGTTAAGATAAAATCGTGTAAAACATATTTATCTTTGGATTATTGTCTAATACATAATAACTATTATCAAATACCTATTCGTATTTAATTATTTATTTGCGAAGAACAAACATACCCTAATGGCCATAAACATTGATTAGTTTATAGAGTATATTAGTATATTAATAGAGTTTACAGACTATAATAAATGTTAAGGTACCTATGTTCATTATACAATTATAAGTTTAGTAGACTAAATTAGAATAAACGACAATACTTTATGACAAAATTGAGTAAGTTACAATGCATAATCCGAACAAATTGTTTCAAATATTAAATTGTGCTAAAATCATGTTGATACACAAGTCCAAGATAAAAATGTAAATTGTACTTAGGTTTACTGTTTACCGGTCATCGTGTCAACCGGTTATTCTCGTAGAAATAATAGACGGAAAGGCGGCAACAGTTGTCTTGTGTGTGCGCGTAAAATCAGTATCTATATGACTATATATAAATATGTATAATAGTTGGCGACAGGTACTCCTGTAACAGTAGTGAGTTCCCGTAAAGGTATTTAACACAATAAAAATCGACTACCTATCGTAACAAAAACGCGGATATCGGTACACGCACAGCACATACAATATAGTTGTTATATGCATTGGTAAAAAATAATATTATCGTTGTTGAGTATACGGTTAATCGGCACAATGCCGTGATCAGCGGCGAACACTCAGTGTCAATGTGGCAAACTATACGTTTTATAAAATATGTTTATGTATATAGGTACAATATAATATACCTCTAACACTGCAAATTATCATTAACACACGTCCTTACCACGCACGCCGTCTTTAATATCATTATTATAATTTATGATAATTATTACTTGATAAAAAATATTGTATACGCGGTAGGCATACAGACTTAAACAAAGAATATCTTTCGAGTGACCGGCTGCAGGGATGACAAATTGTATGATGACGCATAATGTTGTGCACGTCTCTCCGCCGTACATTATTATAATAATGTACAAAGTCTAAAAAGTTTACAAGTTTTTTACAAGTGCGCCGACACGATAGGTATAATAAACGGTTATTTTGCAGAATTTCCTCGTGTAAATATATATTATCATTGTGTGTGCGCGCGTCTGTGTGTGAAGACTGTGAAGTATAAATAAGGACCTCTGCCGGTCGTCGAGGAAAAAGTGTCATACCCCTCAGTGCTTTTGAAAAACAACAGAAGTGGGTTCGTATCCCGCGCACTTCACTGCGTCATATGCACTACAAGCAATGCGCGTATATACCTATACTACACGGGCGTTTCGAAAACGATGCTACACAGTATAAACATCTATCGCATGCTCGAAGCTCGTAACTATAAAAACCAGTGCAGTGCACGTTCTAACAACGGTACGATTTCGCACCACGCGGTAGTTGAACACAACGAGATGTTTTATGGGTAAGTAGCTATAGTGTATAAAATCGGTGTACTTACGTCTGAGCGAACGAGGTGTAGCCTGTTTCCTCCTGGACATGATGCGTGCGATACCGCACGATTCGCGTTCGACCGCGTAAAGTTCGCGCCTTTTTATCTCTCTCTCTCTCTCACACACACACACACACACACACTGTGTGCGTGTCTCTCTCTCTCTCTCCTTCTCTCGCTGGTCTTTCCGTTCCTCTGTCGTTACTTGTTTTCCGTTTTCGCACAAGTCCCTCGCCGCGTCCGCCGGCGTAAGCGCGCGATCACGCGATCCTCCCGACCGATCAACGGTGGCGGCGAGACCACTATACGAGCGGGCTAATGTACGAGTGCGAATCGGATGGCGATCGGGGGAGGTGCAGTGCCGGACGTTTCCGCGCCTTCGCCTCCGCACGCGCGCGTTTACAACGTCCGTCCGGAAACGATCGCACCGCTCACGCTTGGTGAAAAAAAAAAAAAAAAAAAAAACACGACACGTGTATATATAAAATCTCGTAAGACACTTACGCACTGGGCGAACAATATTATTAGGTCGTACACGGTATCGATATGACGTGTACCTACAATATATTATGATATGATTGGCAATAGATAATAATATTTTACAAACGGTAATGTCAGTGTTCCCGCACTTTCGCCGTACCGGTCGTCAAAATTAATATAATATATTAAATTCGATTATTTTTTTATTATTTTTTTTTTTTCCCCGTACGCGACGACTAGCGAGATTTCCCGATTTCCGCGGTGTATGCGCGATCAGCCCACCACTTGCGGACGTGCATCATCGTATTATTATAATTTATACATACGTAACGTACGTGTGTCGCGTTCACGCGCCGCGGCCGTACGTGTGCGTGTCGAGCGCGTGTGGCGTACAGAGAACACTTCCGGTCCGGACAACGTCGGGCCAGTGACTTCCGCCGCCGGCGAAACGTTCGTAGTCGACGCCGCCGACGCGCGGCCACGAGCAGACGGGCCGGCGCGCGCAACCCTTACGATATTATACGTATACGCGTCGTGTGCGCGCCCGCTGAGCTGTGTACACAATAACACATATTATATTCATATATATATATATATATTTATTTATATATTTATTTATTTATACATATATATATATATACGTGCCGTGCACGTGTGCGTCGCGACGTACGCACAGACGGTAAAACAACAATAATTAACCTATCACAACATTATTGTATTACCGTCGCCGGATTTGTTTTATCGTCGATATTGGGTTTTGATGGTTATTGTTTTAAGCGTTCAAGTCGGCAGCCTTGTATCGTCCGGAGATAAATCAGAGCGCGTCAACAACATCGTTATTAGGTCGAATCGCTAACGCGCCGTGCGTTCGTTGAAATTATAAACGTTCACCGTGTTTATATATATTATATATATATATTGTTGGCTGTTGCCATCGTTTACACTCTCCTATCAAAGTCAAAATGCTTTTAGCGGGAGACTTTTGCTATTTGCTTCAAAAATATTTTGATATCAAACACCTACGTCCTACAGCGCGTCAGTGCTGCGCACGCTACTCTAGTGCCATATCGTGTACTCGTTTAATTTATTTGCAATAAATTATTCGGACTTTATACGTAGATGTGCGATACAACTTAAATAATATCAAATCATCAAAAAATCTGGCATATATTTATATATGTTCTATGCTGGGCGACGGATAAATTAATATCATATTTTTATGTATTGCAAAATCGGGAGCTCCAATTTTTTTTGTTTTGTTTTTTTATCTGATTTTGTGCATGATTAGCACGAATTTACTAGGAATTTTATACAAACTACTAAATCAAAAACTCTAAGCACGGCCGACTGCTACATTGACCGAACCCAATTTTACAAAGTCAATAAGATTCAAAACATTATTTATTTTTAATCATACTTCTGATTCGAGACTATAGTGATGGTCGGTTTTGCAATATTCTCTGTTATTCGACACGAGTACATGGGGGTTTCAGTAAATTTATACTGGATACATTTGCTAACGTTAACAATTAAAATTAAAATTTAACTGAACTATTAATAACTTATTTTTAAACTATATATTTCTACTGTTGTCTAAACATTTACTAAAATTATTTTAAAATATTATAATTGTTTAATATTCATTTTTCAAATGTTATTATTGTAGTAGAGTAGAAATGTGGGGTGATTTTTAATTCCCAGTATCAAATCTCGAATAGTAATTTTAGTTAATAAAATAATAATAATAATCATTCTTCTTAAAATTTAAATTTTTACGCTCATTATAAATAATTATTAGTAAAATGTAAAAAAAAACCCAGAAAATTCATAAATTGAACTATTTTACAATTGAGACAAAAAAATATTAGGAAATATATTATTATACAAGTATAATAATATACCTAATATACTACTATATAAGTATGTATTAATATTAAATATTAATATGTTCTATAACTTTAATTATTTTATACATACTTTATTATACTAATATTATTTGTCACTACTGTTTTAGGAAATTATAACAGCTAGATATCTAATTTCAGAGATAAAAATAAACGTAAATCACGTAATTACTACTGGTTTTAATGTTTGATATTAATATATTCACCGTATAAATATTTAACTGCTACCGCGTAGAATGCAATACCTATTTTATTATTTATTATATAACGATTAACGGTACGTACAACATTTTACGTGAAACAAGTCAGAACATTATTACATATTTATAAAGGTGCACATAAATAATAAGGTTAAACATTATTGTAGCTATTATGATTTGTGACCGATGTCTTAAAGGATAATAATAATTATTATTATTATACCAACTCGCTTAACCACACTCACTGGTCACCACACTAATTGGAAGCTATACGTATTATTATCAGAATTCTTCAAAAGTAAACATTAAACGTGTAGTTATGAATATAAGTGGATTACATTTATGGGAAATATATTCGTAAATATCTAACCGATTATATTATCGTAAATTATTATATACCACTCGTCGACAACCGTTAAAATTGCTTTAATCACAATTAAAAGTGTCAAATCAATAATTATCTTACTGGTTGTCGACAATGAGTTTAGGTTTATCGTTTGTTTTATTTTCAACGCGTCCCTGTCGCTGTTCTGCGTGCATATTATACCATGAACACGTAGTCAAAATAATTATAAAAACATTACTAATATGAAAAAAATGACCTCAAAAATTGCCACTCACTAGTAGACATTTCAAATGTTTGCGATTTTCATTATCCCAAGTCCCTAATCGCTCACACAAATCGACAACATTACCGACCGTTATCGTCTATCGATGATAATCTATTATTGACGCAAAAATCTGAAAACAAATTTGAATACGCTTAAAATACAAAAGTTAACATTTAACACAAAATATTGTATAATAATATTCTCTTATATTGTATAATTTTAATATTCGGTGATTATAATACATTTTAACACTTAAAAGTTGTAACTTAGAACTCATATACGATCGAATATTTTCACCCGTTTCAGGTATAGACCATTCAACTCTAACCATTGCTACCTATTTTATCATAAAGCACGGTGTACAGTGCATACATCTAATAACCTCACCATTAACTATTTAAATATTATATTAATTATACAAGTATAGTCATTGATATTCTCTGCAAAACCGTCAAAAAACATTAAGAGATTAAAAAATAGGAGATTCATGGTCCAAAATAACATTGATAACGTAAATAATAAAATGACAAATTGGTTAACTTCAAAGGGAAAAGAAAAAAATATTTCAAATTTTGAAAATTTAACCAACTAATTCTGATAACACCATCGTTTTTAACTCATATAAATACCAAAGTCAAAATAAATTAAAATTACTCAGAAGAATGATAAAATAAACTTGTTCCAATATTTCAATAGTTTATCTAAAATGTTGAATAACATACAGAACTACAATATTTAAAATCGTGTGGATTTTAATTAGTTAATGATTGTATATTTTTCTATGGTGTACAAGTTAGAAAATTAGTAATTTATTATAGTAGTAGTAATACGATAGGTTCAACGTTCAACTAATTTTTTCCAAAAACAAAGCGCATACAATAATATACAAAATATAATTAACAATAATTATTAGGTATACTATAATATCAATATATCATAAAATATTATTAGTTGTTATCAATTAACATGTAATCTGTAATCTAATACATATGAATAGGTTTGTAGTATAAATATCTCAAAACAATCTAAATATTTTGAAAACTAAACTATGAATAATATTTAATAATTTATTAAGCGAGTAATTAAAGCTCTAAGTCACTACAAAAAATACAAATAGAAAATATTTTTCAAATTACGACAACATAATATTTTTATCTTTTTAAATCTCATAGTACAGTATTAGACATTAGTTTTAACGATTAAAATATTGATTTACAAGAATCAAAATAATTTAAAAAATATAAATTATATAAAATAACAAAATTAAATTATCTAGTCTGTATATTTTTTGTTAAGACGAGATTATATTTTGGTTATTAAAAGAGATTTTGGAAGTTTTAAAAAAAGGACAATTTTTGGAGCAGTTATGTGTGTGTGTGTGTCATAAATCGCTAGATTGTTATGGAGCGTTTCCCAGTGTTTAAGTCATAATTAGGTTATCTAAACCATAAAATTGAAGGATGAATTGAGACTAAAACACAACAACTTTAGTTTTTATTAATGGCTTAAATATATTAGTAATATTATGTAAAACTATATTATGAACTATAATAGTGATTATCATATTATTATGATGTATAGGAATATATATATATCAATATATCGTATAAATGAATTGTTTTTAGCAAAAAATAATTAGATCTTAAACCTATCGGTATAGATTAATTGTTACCAAAAAAAACACACTTATTTAAAATTTTAAGTATAGTATTCAGAAACTAATAATTATAATTATTTATTATATAGTTTATTAGATAATGCTTACGTAAGTAGGTACCTACTGCATAAATTGCATGAATATTAATAAATATGAATAATAATTCATCTATATATCTAATACGTAGAAAATATTTACATGTTGATTATCAATATTGAAAGAATTATTTAGATGTATTTCATCAAAAATTTATATTTACATTAAAATATTCACAAAGTTAAACTACTCAAATTATTATTTGTGTTTATTTAATATTTGGTGGTGCGGGGACAAAGCTACTTCACTGGTCGCTTTGTCAGATAAAATACTACTCCTCTGAAAAAAAAATCCATCAAGTCTCCTGTGGCTCACAATATTCACAATTCACACTAGATAGTAGATACATACTGTAGCGAGTCGTATTAATAGATTTAAATATTTCAACGTACATGTGACGTGTTAATTGAATGTAAATATTGAATACACGGAACACAACTCGATATTGTGCTTGTAACATGAACCCGACCTTAAAGTTGCGTGATCGTCATGGAATCAGAGTATCAATTTAAGGGTTTGCTATTTGATATTTTTTTAATTTTTGAACAAAAAATAATTATTCGCAATTTTATTTGTACCGCGGGTGCGGTACGATATATCATGAAATTATGAAAAAAATCTATATCGCCTGAACATGAATACCTTTTATACATAAACCATCCATGATGTGAACAAATTGTATCACCTATCATCAGTCAGAATGTCATAATATTATAACAAAATTGATCAAATTCATAAGCTTTATGACTTCAGTTGTCACAACTATTTTAATAACAATGAAAAATACAATAAATATCAGAACATATTACGACCGTATGAAGTTTAATAACAATATTGCGGTATCTATTAGCATATTTAATACAGTTCTATAACACCGTAATAATTTTTGTGGTATTTTGTATATAAATATATATTATTATTATTATTATTATTATTATGAATAAAAATGTTATTGATTTTTTTCAAACGAATAATAAACGGTAAAATATTTTTAAAACATAGTTTATTACCACACTCGAATGATTTCCAGAAGTTAGACAGTAATGTGAAAACTAAAACAAGTTCATGAAGTATAATACGATGCTGTAATACAATAAGATGTCGAACAACTCGATCGAAAAGAAAATTCGTTTTTCACATTTGAATACATATATTAATGGTTGGCTAAGCGTAAGCTATAGTCAAACTAAGAAAATGATATAATATAATATACAAACCATTTTCTTTGAAAAAAACTTAAGCGGGCTGTTCACATCTTGGGTATCTTATATGATACGGTTTACTGATCAATACGGAGTACATAGTATTATTTCATATTTGACCGTACCGTAATAAAATCTAAACAGAAATTTACATTGATAAAATTTTAAGTTAAAATTATAAATAAGATTTGACGCAAAACTAACAAATTATTACCGAATGCAATACACGATATTCATACAAATTACAAACTAATAAATATTTATGAATTTAAGTGAGCCAATTTGGTGTAGGTGCCTGTTTATGCAAATAAAATATTAAGTACTGAACAAATCTGAATTTCTCGTCGCTATTAAACGGGCTATTTAAAAATATGTGCATAGGAATATGTTCAAGCTTTATCTGACCCTGCATTATACCATATAGCATATTTATACATATATTATGTATAGTTACCGCTGGCTGAGTGGTTAATCAAATATCATTAAAATATTAAGAATCATGACTCATGTGTACACACACATATATAATATATAAATATACGGATATATAATTATAATATATTACCATTACAAATCCCCAAATATTAGGTAATTTACACGATCGGTTGTACAATACTTTCATGAAGTTATTATTTTCAAAAGAAAACAATTTGTAAAAAAATATTATAAATTAATAACTTTGACTGTTATAATAAGATATTATAATAAATTAAATATTAATATCATACAACTATTATTACTTTTATTAAAATAATCCGACACCTAGTAAATTGTTTATGCATTTATAAATTATTATTAAGTTATTGACACTCAAGTTTTAAAATGGCTGCTTACATATTTACAAATGTAAGCTCATAAAGAATAATTATTGTGTCACAGAATTAATTCAGTTATATTATCATTACTGTTAAGATTTTAACAATAAATTGTTGTCTGTATTCAGTATTCACATATTGACTGTTTAAAATATACGTCTATATATGTATATGTTTTGAAAAACTTGTGATTTAGTTTGATTTAATGTATCAAGTAATGAGTATCTAAATACTTAAAATTTAAGTATCAAGTACCTTATCCATTCTGCTTGTATCCTTACAAAATACTGATGAATTATCTTCAAAATTAAAATTTTAGAGCAATGATGCTTGTATAAAACTAATGTGACTTTACATCAATTTCTTTTTAAATTCTTGTAAGAAAAAAATACAAATAAGAATAAAATAATAAATACAATAAAAATACTGTTTTTTGAAAAATAAAATACTTTTATAATAATTTTACAAACTACTGAATTAAATAATTTTTATACATAACATATTACAATATTATCCAAGGCTAAGAAACTTAATGATTTTTTTTTTTGTTTTTAATTCAGTTAAGCTAAGTTAATATGCATCAATAAGAAAAAGTTAAAATTTAATACATTTTTTGTTTAACTCAGTTAAGTTCAAAGTTAATATACATTTTTTTTAAGTTAAAAAAGTTATTTTAGCGTACTTTATTTCTTACCAACACAAAACTAAATTATAAACTATAATGCTTATACGTCTTATAATAATTAAATACGTACCTAAAAGCTGAAAATAATCAATTTACATTATTTAATTAAATCTTTCATACAGATATTATCTGTGTGTTGTGTGTGTAATAAGATTATATTACTGTATTTTTGATAAATAATCACAACATATTTTATTAGATTGACACGAAGTATTAAATACTTAATTATTAAATTAGTTTAATTGCTTTTATTGTATGATTATATGATTATATCAATCATATAAAATTATATTAGAAATAAAAATATAATTTAAACAATAAGATGAAATATTATTTCGACATATAATATATAGGTAAAGTTAAAGTCTAAGTTTAAACTTAAATAACATTTCATTATACTAAAATAAATATTGCAATAAAAAAAACATTTCCCTTTGTAGATAAATTAAATTAAAATTTTACTTTTACAGTTTTACATAATACGTTTACGTTTGAAAAAAAAATTAACTTAAAATAATAATATTTACTAAAATATAAAATAATTATAATTAAAAAATGTATTTAAATTCATTCAACTTTAAGAGGGGAGTCACTTCAAAATTCTTAACTACTATTGATGCTCTCCCTTTTCGAACTACTGTTCCCAAGCACTAGCTGAATAAGCGTTCTACAAGCGCAGATGATGGAACCGTAATATTTAATTTTAAATAAGGTTTTTTGAAAATTTGCTGTAAATTATTAACATTCTTTATGCTATTATCAATAAAGTAATAATTTATGATAGTTTTAATATCATTATTATCATTTTATATTACAGTATTATTAAAACTAAAAAAATCACCTTTGCCATTGTCATCAGAAGAGGTATCAACATTTTGAAAAGTTGAACTCGAGGTTAAATTTAAAGTTACATTACTATCTTGTGTTTTTTCAACAAATTTTTCACTAACATATACATATAAGACTTTTTTAATATCATTTTTTTTACCTATAGATCCAACCAATGAAGTTTAAACTTGGATATTAAACAAGCTGCCAACTTACATGATTGCGATTCAGTATATCTTTGAAACCTGTAAAAATATAAAATACAATAGTCATTTATGAAATAATAATACACTAAAAGTACATTTTAATTATAGACTATACAGTATATTTGTATTTCGTCAAAATTAATATAGGTAATCGAACTTCAAGCAAGTTCGTGTAGCGAATTAATTATTTTATTCCATAATTCGTAGAAATTTATATTAATATTTTAATTGTTTAATAAAATCGATGCTGCCACTATGTAATTTATAAAATCATTAAAATTACAAAATAAAAAATACAATACCAACGTCTATACTCTATAGCCTAACCCATTATTATAATATTATATCAATTTTACTGTTCAGAGTATTTGGTCTTTAAAACGGTGTTATATTAATTTTTAATATAATATAATGGATAGCTCAACATAAAACAGACATTAAATATGCACGTTTGATTGTATAATTATATCGGTAAAGATGTAAAGTATAGTAGGTAAAATACCTAATTCAAAATGTTAGTTATTAAGCATATAATTATATTTATTCGAATATAATAAAATTTTTCATCTAAATGTTTCACTGTGTCATTTGAGCCTAAGCCATCCGCATACCGGGAAGTTCGATTTAAATAAATTCGTTTCTTTCTCTCTATTGTAATTGGTAAATAGTTTTTTTTTTTTTTTGCGACCACATTAAAACTTAAACATTTTAACGGCGATCTGCAAAAACGTGTGATGTAGCAAATTATTTTTCAAATACGAACGTTCCTATACTCAAACATATTATCTTACATTTTTACTTATAGCTCATACACTGTTCTACAGACTACCGGTATCTGGTAAGTAGTGACTTCCTTTTTAGTATTAACATCACGCAACACAACATACAATCAAACACCAGTACAGGTATAAAAGACGAAGGTTGAATGCGTTAATTGACAATCTATAGTTTAAATTATTTAATAAATAATAGCATGAGTATATATACTGACCGTTCTCTTGTACTTAGCGCATCGAAAATTCGGGCATACGTAAACTGCGCCCAAATGACCTTTTTTTTTTTGTAAACTGCAAACTGCGCCCGACAACTTACTTAAGCTGTGCCCCGTTTGTAAAATATACAAAACTTTTGACTTATTAAGTCTCTATGATTGTGCACTGTTTCGATTATATCACAGAAATTTTATTTTCGTCTAGAAATACCAACACGTTATCGAATAATTATTGCATTATAAAACAAAAAAAAAAAAAGCGAAAAGTTACAAAATTTAATTAATAAATATAATAGTGGTCAAACTCCGATTGATGAATATGTAACATCAATATTTTATTATTTATAATATTTGTAATTATTTTACTTTTTAAAATCATGTGTTTTTATTTAATTCTCAATTTAATTTTAATTTTAATTATTCATATTATATGGTTGTAATGAATTAAGTATACATTAAAGATAATTTTGCAAAAATATAGCTATTGATTTTTAAAATAAATTTTCCGGGGCGCAGTTTACATATCACCATTTTACACTTGATAAAAACTCAGGCGCACTTTACATGTGTGATTTTGGGTTTATCTATATTTTGGGCGCAGTTTACAGTCGCCAGAAAATTCACAAATGTTTTCACATTTATACTTTGTACATATTATGTTAATAGATAGATAGCCATATTGTTAGGTAGGTAAATTTAGTATGACATTATCATTAAACAAATATTGTATTTCACACTTCCTATTTATATCATTACCATTCACCACTGGACACACTGGCCACAATAAAATGGTTATAATCTGATTTTATTAACTACAATATAAGTTTTATATTCTTAAATCCGTTAAATCTATTCTTATCCCTTAAGAATAAATATAAAAAAATATATATATATATATTATATATGTATATGAGATATAAAAAATATATTTTTATACCCATGAATAAAAATCAATAAGACACATGTCATTTGCACTTAGTAATATTTTATACATGTCGAATACATTATTGCCTAGCATAAAGTATATTTTACACTCAGAAGACTTTTTTAGATTATACTGTTATTTTTACTTTTTAGCATTATTTGTTAAATCGATTGGCATTATTGTTGATTCGTTATTTATTTAAAATTGATGGTTTTATAATTTAATTACATTATTAATATGACTTTTTTTTACAGATTACATCGATAAAATATAACCAAGTCCAATGGCCATATTTAACGATCATACCGTTGCTATTAATTTGAAAATTTTAAAACAATACGGTTTTTATCAAATATTCGATCCTGACAGCAAAAAAGTATTCGGTTGGAATATGTACAGACTTTCTTTTATCGCATTAACCGTGATAATCCAGTGTCTAGTTGGTTTCGGGAACTGTGGATTTTTCTTTGAATTGGAAGACACTATTAACAATATTGATGTATTTCTAATCATATTCTCTAGCTCATTTAATTATCTTAATCTGTGGAAAATAATCATACTTTTGTTCAACAAAAACAACATTTTGGATCTTTTGGACGTTACATATTTAAATTTTTTTAAGAGCAAACAATGCCACAATAACGTTGAAATACTGTACAAACATCGTAACAGAACTCTAAAATGTACAAAATTATACTACAATTTCTGCACTTTGGTGATCATTCAATGGGTTTTTTATCCGATAATAATTAATTCATTCATAGCGAATAAAAATGACAATCGGCGTTTAGAGAACGTTATAAACAGACCATATCCTATAACTGTCAACACTTACAATCGGTATTTTGTCCTGTTTTACATAATTGAAACAGTAATTGGAATAAAATCAGTATACTCATTATTGATGATCGATATATTATTATTGTCTATTGGTTGGGCGATAACTGTTCAATATGAAGTATTGGCTGCAGCGTTTAAAAACATCAGGCATGATGTAGACCATCAAAAGGGTGAGACTACATTTTTAAATTTTTAACATGATAAAATGCAGAATAATCAATTAGACGAATAAATAAAAGAAATAAATCAAAATCATTAAAACATCTTCTTAAATTCTAATAGATTTTTTTTATTCTTTCTTTAAGATAAGAAATACCTAATGAATAAATAATTCATATTTCAACAATAAAAAATTAAGTAACCTAATAAAAAAAAAAAAAAGATCGAAATTGACTTATTGCCTTAATTTTCTCTAATTATACCTTGCGGCTCGCCCCACCCAATTGTAACGATAAAATAAAACTGCAGACCAAGCAAAAAGTTGCCAAAGATCTTAAAGTTCCATACAACATTTTAGTATTTTATAGAACTGACAATATTATTTTATGTATTAAATGTTCATTACCTACTTACATTTTATTTTTCAGATCACGATTATAATGACGATAATGTTATAGATGATTTTAAATCGATTTTATTTGATCAACAACATCTTAATCTGTAAGTATATTTTACATTATATAAGTATTATACAATATTCAATTAACATGGCAAAAAACTAACGACAAGAATGATCGTCATATTTCACAATTTCACATACTCGATCAGTGTCTCTACTATCTCCTCAGCCCTTAGTGCTTTTTATGTTTTTCGTTGACTCCAGACATAATTATTACATACAAGGTTGGTGTACTTTAGTCACTTTAGACACTAAACAGAACGATGAATGTACGATTTCATATTAGAATTTCTATCGTATTAGTTTTATATCAATGGAGGAACCTAGTGAAGAACACAACTACATAATTATAGTTGATTTAAAACTCAAAAACCTATCGAAACACATATAACTATTTTTGCCTTAAAATTAAAATATTGTACTGTTTGCAACTTAAATGGGTATCTACTTATATTTATACAGTATACTTATTTACTTTTATAACCTGCATCGGATAAGTTTAAGAGGAGTGAAGACATCTTAATCACATATTCATATAGGTTTACTATAGTTTTCTGTCATATACAATTTTTACACAGTTACACATAAGTAACTATTAGGTACATGAGAAATTGGCAACTGAAAGGGTTAAATATTGTATTAAACTAAACATATTCTGTATTTGTAGCTTGGTTTTTACTTTTTTACGATACCTAATTCATTTTTTAAACGTGTTATAACTTATGAGTACCTAGGAATGTAAAATATAACGTTTTACAAATGTTTATTAATTATTACTCACTTAAAAAATTAAAGAACACTCTAAATTTCTAACAGAACTAATGTTCTTCCATTAAGTTTTAAGATAGGTCAAAGTGAAATCAATCTTTTATTATTACTTACATAATGCAACACAAAATTGATTGACTAAACTCAAAAACAACAATACCTAGTCAGTGTTAATCATAGGATCACAATAGGTAAATTATTATAAACTGAACATTTTAAATACTTATCTTTTATTAGATACAGTAAAAGAAAGAAAAAAACTGTCTCCACACAATACTTGAATTATATAAGTATCTACTATATAATTATATAAGTTGGCTACCATGAAGATCACGGGCGACTCTCACATGCACTATCCTAGCGTACCAGACGCGATAAGAAAGAACTTCTCTCATACACCATAGGAGTCACGGGTGTCTCACGTTGCACGATTCTCGATATACCATGTGAGTTACCTGTGACTCTCACATATTTTCCACTTTACGTGGTCACACTGGCAAATCCAAACAGCTGTTCTCAATAATTCTTGGACTAAATTATTGTTAAGTGTGTTATCATTATATGATTCACTTGGGGTATCACCAGTGACTCTCAAAATCAAGAAAACAAATTTAAAAGAAAAATTTTTTTTTTGTATTCAAATAAAATAAAATAACACTTCTTTCTCAAGTAATGATCAAACTACAAACAAAATTAACAAAAAAAAAATATTAAATGACTTGAAGTAACATTAAAATAAATACTATTCTTTGTGTATAGTTAACAGTTCATAAAAAGTATAATAAAACAACATAAAATAATTATGGAAAACACTATAACTTTTAGTGCTATATAATAAATTGAAACAACATAATAACTAACAATGTAAGATTATTTATGATTCTTTTGAAAATGTTCTAAACACAGGTATGGTTTGTCTTCACATGTAGAGCAATAAGTATATACTTGCTTACATTTTTTTTGTGCCTCTTCTCTCCCAAATACTTTACTCAAATTGATATAGCATTTACCACATCTACGGCGTTTTTTCCTATTGCCATTATTGACTTCTGATCCTTCAACTAAATAATGTTTTTTAGTTTGTGAAGATGGTGTACTTATGTCACTCAGCTGACTCAACTCTTGACTAATATTTTGAATGAATTCAGATATTTGAATATTCTTACCAGATACTTCTTTGTATAAAATTAAAGAATTAACCACTGCTGTACCTAACAATAAGTGAAAGGCTAGTTTATGGTACCACCTTATAGTTTTTCTTAATGGGGTATAGTAACTTGCCATTTGATCAGAAATATCAATACCTTGCTTGTTTTTATTATAAAATATAACTGCTTCTGGTTTTTTAATTTCTTCACCTTTTCTATTTTTTTTCCCAGTATTTAACATTTCAATTCCATGTCTTGTTGACAAAAATCTTACATCTCTTTTATCCTTCCATATACTGACAACAACACCTTTTTCATTTTCTTTTCCTTTTATTTCACCTACTCTCAGTTTTGCATTTAAAACATCCTTAGGACAAAACTTAACATTTTTCCTAAGGGTACCTACTATATGAGTATTATTGTCTAATAAAATGTGAGCAATATGAAGACCTGTGTAAAAATTATCTACTATTAAAGTTCTTCCTTCATTTAAATAATTTTCCATTAATGACAGAACAACTTTACCAGCACAAGAAATATTACTATTAGATCTGTTAGTATCTTTACCACTGTACACACTTAAGTTATATGTATAACCTATGTTGTCACATAATTTATATAATTTAATTCCATATCTTGCTGCTTTATTTGGAATATATTGCCTGAATACAATGCGACCCCTAAATGGTACTAATGTTTCATCAATGACTACATTTTCTGCTGGGACTTTGCTTTGTTTAAATGAATTATTTAATAAATCAACTAAAGGTTGAATTTTTCCTAACCTATCCCCTGGATTATAATCATTATTAGAAATATGAAAAAATCTAAGCAATGACTGAAAACGATTACAAGCCATAATTTTTGGTACATAACTATTTATGTAAAAAGTTTGTTGACTCCAGTAGTCAGATATCTTAGGATAACCAACCATACCTGTGTACATTACAATACTTAAAAATTTTTTAATTTCTAAACTGTCTGTGTCTATCCATTGTCTTTTGTACCTTTTAGCTTGCCTGTTTGTCTCAGTTACAATCAAATTCAATACTTCATCATTCAAAAATAGGTTAAAAATATCAATAGGTTTAGATTCTTGGTCAATGTTACATTTGATACCATTGTCTCCAGTAAAAATAATATTTTTTCGAAAATCTCCTTTTTTTTATTTTTTTTATTTATTTAAGAATATTTACAATCTATATACAATTTATATAATAAGTAAATATGATGATATGAATATTACAGGACTTGAAAATCTTGAGGGAAGGGAGTGTCCAATGACACTACTTCCAATTTAAACTTTGTGGGGAGGTAACTTTATAATAATAGCACTAGGCATTATTTAGTAGATCACGCGGCCATTTGCGTTTGAGGCGTCGAGGGGGGTTATCAGGTATTGTGCAAGAAGAAAGTTTAGATATGAGTGGGTTTGGATGGTTAAAGGTATTTTTATGAAATTTGTTATAATGATAAGAGGCAAGAGTGGATATTGATGGTATGTTAAGATCATGATGTAGGGTGCGGTTGCTGACGTACCAGGGAGCATTAGAGAGGACACGCAGAGATATTGATTGGAACGCTTGGAATTTGATTAGGTTTGAATTTTTAGTGGTACCCCACAGTTGAATTCCGTAAGTCATTGCTGGACGTAATATTTGTTTATAAATAAGTGTTTTGTTATTTAAGGAGATTTTGGATCGAAGAAGTGGTCTTAATTTGTGAAGCCTGAGGTTAAGGGAAATTCTTTTAGCTTTGATGTGATTTGCCCAAGTTAGTCTTTTGTCGAGAACGAGTCCTAAGTATTTAACGGAGTCGACAATGGGAATTGTTTGGTTATTTATGTAAACTGGAGGAATTGTTGTAGGCCTGAGTGTAAAAGTGATGTGAGTGGATTTATTTTCATTAATTTTAATTTTCCATAAGCTGAACCAATCTTGTAGTTGGGTTAGGTGGTCTTGGAGGTTGTTTGTAGTGGTGGCTATTTCGGAGTTGGTTGATATTATGGCTGTGTCATCGGCAAAGGTAGCTAGAGTAGTGTTGATAGATTGTGGTAGATCTGCTGTATATATATTATAGAGAGTCGGGGAAAGAATACTGCCTTGAGGGACGCCTGCTTTAATAGGATGTGGATCAGAAGTTTCGTCTTCACATCTTACCGAAAAGGTACGGTTTGATAGGAAGGATTTGAGTAAGAGGAATAACGGAGTGGGTAAAAATAATAATTTGAATAGAAGTCCTTCATGCCAGACCCGGTCAAACGCCTGAGCAACATCAAGAAAAACCCCAGAACAAAATTTTTTTTGTTCCAGAGATGAAGCAATAGTGTCGATTAGTCTGTGAAGTTGGTGAAGAGATGAGTGTTTACTCCTAAAGCCGAATTGAGCGTTTGGAATACTTTGTTTCTCGTTAAGTATCGGATAAATTCTTTTTAATATGATTTTTTCTAAAATTTTTGAGAAGGTAGGAAGTAAGCTAATAGGCCTATATGAGGAGGGTTGGTCAGGAGGTTTTCCTGGCTTGTATATTAGGATGATAACTGAGTGTTTCCAGGTGGGAGGGATATAGGATAGACGAAGAATGCTATTGTAAATATAAGTGAGAAGAAGGATTGCTTTCTTAGGCAGGTATTTAGCAATAGTATTAGTTATCAGGTCGTGGCCTGGGGATTTATTATTTTTTAAGTTTTTAATGATATTTAGGACTTCAGAAGGGGAGGTATGTTTTGTAGGGAGACACATTGGGAGAGTGTTTAGAAGTGATGCTTCAATATTAGAGTAGTGGCTTCTATTGAGAAAGTTTGGATGTGGTGAGAATCTATTTTCAAGATCTGATGCAAATAAGTTTGCTTTGTCAAGATTTGACGAGGCTAGGGAGTTGTCGGGGTACCGTAGGGGGGGTATTTTACTTTTTTCCTTTAGGATATTTTTAGTGGCTTTCCAAAGAGAGTTGTCTGTATTAGAGAGAGATTCCAAGTAGTTGTGAAATTTGTCAGAATTATGTTTTCGAAGAATATTTTTTAAGGAGTTATTGAGAGTGTTGAAATACTTTTTGTCACTCGGCAAGTGTGTTCTTTGCCATATACGGCGGGCTCGACGCTTTTCTGTAATGAGTTGTATTATGTGTAAGGGTAAAACATTGGTTGTGTGGGTGGTGGGTGAGTTGTTTTTAGAAGCATCAAGTGCAGCATGTTGTAAGATATTTGTGAAGGAGTGTACTGCAGTATCTGCGTCAGATGGGTTCTTTAAGGAAATGTTGAGGGTGATGGCATTTTCTATAGTTTGACTAAATTTTTTCCAGTTTGTTTTACCCGGAGTGATAGTTGGGTGATTTTTTGTAGCAGTTGAAGTATCGTTTAGAGTGAGTAATATTGGTGTATGGTCAGAAGAGAGGTCTGAGGAATTGGTAATAGTGTACTTTATGTGGCTAGGGAGCGTAGTGATAAAAAAGTCTAGAACGTCGGGACGTCTATTGACATATGAGGGCCAATCAAATTCGAAAATCTCCTAAAAACGAATTACATTTTTACAATCATGTCATAGGCTGTTCAGAAACTGACTACTTTACTACTTAACTTAATACTATTTTACCTGTAACATTAAACCATTCATCAGATATGATACTATTTTCCTGTTGAGCTAAATTTTGGGTATTTTCAGTATCTGGTTCTACACTAATACTCTCATCAGAATCTGATTCGTATAAAACGTCACTTGGACTGTACTCACTACCTGAGTCTTCAAAATCAGAGTCATCCAGAGCAGAAAGAATACCATCAGAGTCCATTATGCTTATTAAATGACTAAATTTTAGTCGTTAAAAAACTATAATTTTTATTGCGATTTGCAATAATAATTAATATAATATATTATAGTGATATTATATTATCATGTACCTAACCAGTAACCATAGCATTAAAAGGATAATATCTATGTTGTTATGTAGGTAATATTTATTATCTATGAATTGCTTACAAAACTTAATTATTATTGACTAGATACTGGCAAATTATCACTAATAAATAAAAAAAGAAATCGAGAGTCACCAGTGATACTCAACGCATAATACACTTAATTATATTAACTAGGTACCATGAGTATCACCGGTGCTTCTCATGAAAAAAAATGGATAATCGTGATCTAACTGTTATTTAGAAAATTATTTATATAGAACATTTTTTTGTAAGATTTTTAGTTTCAAAGATATGGACTCGGTACACAGAGAAAGTTATTTGAAATTTCTATTGGTACACTAACAAAGTCCGTGTGAGAGACACCAGTGACTCTCATGGTACACACGATTAGATTTTTGAAAATAGGTCTGGTAGCCAACGTGTTAAACACATATTTAAGCGTTTAAAACAACCAATAAAAATTTAAAAAACGTATAAAACAAATTATACACAATTTGAAAATTATTTACCCTGATTAGTAATCAATTTGTCCTATAGCTATGATTTACAATTTTACATGTCTAATGATCATAATAAAATATCATAACTGGCTATTAATTACTTTAAAATTATAACACCAACATACAACAAGAGTAACAACAATACATACGTCATACATTAATATTATTTTTATTTATTTTTACAGGAAAGTAAAATTATATTTCTCCATCGTGAAGCCTATTGTTTTAATGCACGTTGCTATTAGTTTATGTTTAATCATAATGTTGTTGAACTCATTCATTATGGTAAAATCTCGAAATAGGCAAATTATTTTAATGAAATTCTAATAATTGTATTGTCTAACTCAATATTTTACTATAGTACTTTTACTATTTAATGATTTTCCGACAGGCTATTTTATCAACAGAACCATTAACCATCACAATCATAAATTTATTTAAAATCGGATTTGGAATTTTTTATTTATGTCTACAATTATTTTTGTATTGTCATTTATTCGATTATATTAACTTAAAGGTACCTACTTTAAAAAAAATAATTGATTCAAAATTTAAAATTATTTTTTCTTTTTACTAAAATTAATATTTATTAACTTGCATTACGCAGAAAGAATCTGTCAACCTGGGAATATATTCTTGTAATTGGACAAAGATGGATTTAACATTTAAAAAGATATTATTATTAACTATGCGGATAAATGATGCTAATCAAATAAAAATGAAAGCTTCAGAGAAAAAAATAGTTAACTTACAATTATTTTCTTATGTAAATACCTATTTATTTATTATCCTACAGTTAACATGATAATATGTTTATTAATAACAAAATATTACCTAATCGAACTGATTCTATATCGACACAATTTCAGGTTTTGATGACGTCTTACAACATTACATCCGTCATGGTAAAAAACATTTCGTAAATTGAGAGATACACCAAATAACAGTTAATAATCTACTATTTTATACCATTAACAGTAAGTTTACATTTATTCAATATTAATACAGAAAATAGTGAAATTATACTTAATAATATATTATATAATTCACCAATATTCTTATTTTTAAATAATTTAAGTAAGATACTGTAATAATACTATTTGGTGATATCGAAACAAATCATACCTACCTATAGATATTTAGAACCAAGATGTTCACAAATCAATAAAACTTGTAGTCTAGTATTTTTCTTAGGCTCGATTTCAAAATTGTAGAATAATCTTATTTTTTAAGTTTATACATTATATTACAATGACATCAAAACGTTTTTAGAACCACAGATATTTGTACAGGTAATTAAAATAAAAATCTAATTTGTTTAAAAATATTTCATCGCATTCAAATTATATAATAGTTACTTTAGTTACTTATTAGGTTAGGTTATCTTTAACTTTAGCTGTAACTTCTGAAATATGTCGTCGGTGTTTCATCTGATTGTGATATCTGACTCGAACAGTCTGAGATAAGGTCTCGTCCTCTTTAATGGTCAATTACTATACACTACGATGTCCACTTTTCGGTTCTGAAAAATCCTTCTCCGATAGTCTTGCTGTGCACTTCTTCAATTTGTTCAATGGCATATTTTGATATTTATTGGGCATATTTACATGCATTTTTTTTTTTTTTTTTAATGTTTTCAAGGTCATAAACAATTTTTAACCTTTTAAAACTAGGAAAGATAATTGTAAAATTTATGATATGTATTAATACAGTCGAATTTGATTAACTCGAACTCTTAACTTAAACTTTGAGTTTATCATTTTGACTGTTTTTTTAAATAGTGTATACCTATATTTCACGGAGCGCAATCGTGTTGCGTTTTTTACATGTAAAAAGGTAGGGAGAGCGCAATCGTGTTTCACCGCTGAAACTCAGGTTTATACAATTATACTGGATATTCTTGTGATGTTTTTACGTCATAATAAAACTCATAAAATAATTTTCATCACTATACGCTCTAAATTATCGTTTTTGGATTTTGACATCCATTTATTTAGATAGGTACATAATAAATAATAGTTACCTACTTAAATTAATTCGCCATTGTAGTATAGAGATGAAACATTTTTCATAGTATATTTCAATGTATTATATAATGAAATCATTTTTGAGTGGTTAAGCCCCTCCTCCTCAGCTCTCCCGTATTTGCGCCTATGACCATGATTCTACAAGTCCATTGATGCCTTAATAGCGTTTATCCGTTCGCCCCGATTAATAGCCCAATTTCCATATTTATTTGATATCCATGAGTTGGTCTAAGTGCAGCGGACAGCAGCTCTATATCACAGTTCAGTCTTTACCTAACGGCTGACGTAGATCGTCAACTGCCAACAAGTGCAGCGAGTCATTGACTCGCGATAGTTTTTTAGTGATGGCTATGTGCTGAACAAAAGCTTTTCATATCACTCTTAACACACCATGACTTCAATATTGTGCAATAATCTTTGATTTCGATTCAGGAGATATACGATTTACCTAAATTATGAAATTTACTAGGTAGATAGGTATATAATAACTGTAGATAAATCAAAAAAACATCAAACAGCATGTGTTTGGATGAATGTATGCAGTTTTCTTAAATACATATTTAAAAAAAAAAGATAATCGCTTAGAGAAAAAGGAAAAATTATACAAACTTATTATGATGTTTAATACGAAGTCCTTGAAAAATATAAAGAAATACTTTGATTGTCTGGTAACTGGTTTTAAAACTTATAAACTACCCACAGAATAATGCAGAGAACAATATGAAAAAAAATTATGGTATTAATGAAATATGTTGACTTTAGTTACTTTGATCTGGCAAGTAGAACGTCATCTAGAATACTACGACAGCTATTTATAATTTATCGTAGTTGACATAATATATCAAATTTATAATTTTTTCTATAAATTGTATAAGCATGTAATTTTTAATAAATATTGAATATGCTAGAGTCTAGTACAAATTAAAAATTCGTTTATATCCACTTATAAATAATTAATTAGGTAAATAATCCATCAAATTAACTTAATCCAATCCATACATTTAAGCATGGTAATAATATATATCTAATTTAACCGTTTCGATTTATAAGATCCTAACTGTTTACAAGTTGAATAATATGAAGTTACACCCTCCTGCATATATTTTCTTTGGTTTACAAATAAACAACAAAGAAAATAAGTGTTCATTAGAAAGCAGAACCAATTTTGTGTAATTCCATTAAACTAATTAATGAAAAGGTGCACTCAATATCTACCTACTATACAACAAAGCTACAATTTTTACAATAATTGGTACTATCATAAAATATTACTAGTACATGTATATACATTAATAATTATTAACATACTTTTAATACAAAAAATATTATTGTCCATAATATTCACATTATATGTTAACCACGGTATTTTAGTAGTGTCATTTTTTTTAACACTAAAAATACATCCATATTTCAAGTATTACATAAATACTAATTAAATTGTTAATTTGACAAGTGTAAAAATTAAATTTTCATAAATTTTTCAATAAAAAAAAAGTCACTTACATAAATTTCTTGATTTTTAAACATTTCTCGGTAATTTATTGTAATGTCTATAAAAATAATTAATAAGACAATTATAAAATTTCTTTTTAAATTAACAAATTTAAAATCAGACTTAAATTCCAATTGATAGAAAGGGACTTTAGGATGTTTCTTTTCAAACAAAAACATTGATACAGAAATAAAATAAAATTTACTTAAAATCTATAAACTATACATATATTTTTAAGAATAATTAATAAAATATAAATACAACATTTATAATGAATGATATGTTCTTATTTTTTTAGTTTTAAGATTATCAAAATGTATATTATGTGTAATTGTGTTCCAACTTAATTTATAATAATTCATCTAGTGTCTTTATAATTCTAAATTTTGAACTGTTCTCAGGATCCAAAGGAACGTTACCAGGTCTTACCAAAAGAGTTGAATTACAGCCGGCTTTTATAGCTGCTTCTGCTTCAGCAACTACGTCAGTCAAAAATAAAATATCACTACAACTTACATTTATCTCATTAGCAATATTTATATAACTGGTTTCTGAGCCTTTTAGACCCATTTTAGTATCAAAATATTTTAAAAATAAACCAGACACATCTCCATACATGGAATATTGAAATAAATACTTTTGAGCTTCTGTACTCCCAGATGAGTAAGTGTATATTTTTTTACCCAAATTGGTTAGCTTGTTTAAAGCAGGTATTACATCTTCATATAAATGACCTTTTAGAAGACCACTCTCATATCCATCTTTCCATATGTGACCTTGTAATTGCTTTAAAGCAGTAGTTTTCCTATCTTTGCTCATCTGCCATAGTACATTATTAATGACAGATTTCTTTGCATTGTCATCTGCAGATATTGGTACAAAGCCCTCAACATTGGAATCAATAACTGCTTGTGCGCGCAATAACTCTAAATCTTGTTGAAAGCTCTCATCGCCCCAGTGTTTTTCTATATAATCCTCTAAGACGTTGGTGACATAAGGAAATAATGTATCTTTAACAAAGCTAATTGATGTAATTGTTCCTTCAATGTCAAGGAGAATAACATTCTCGTTCACTGGCATTTTATATTATAGAATAGCTATTATCAAGATCTGTGAAAACAGAAATACAAGTGTTTAGTATTTTTGTAAATACATTTGTATAAATTGTTTATTGTTAGACTTAATTACTTAATTTCTAAATATTTGACACAAAAAATTTAAAAAAAATAAGTATCTACTTTTTAATGTTAAATTCTAATAGTTTATGTGAATAATTTAAAATGATAAATAAAATATATTGTACTAAGTAAACCTTTATAGCATACAATTATCTACTTTACTTTATTAATATGTACAGAAAATATAAATACCTTTGTTATAGAATATAGATAATAAAATAGATACCAAATGCAATATGCTTAAGGGTTTTAAAAATTAATTTATTACTAAATTTCATTATGTATTAGTGACATTAATCTAATCTTTTTTATGATAAAATGAGATGAGATTTTTTAAGTAATAAGAACTTAACATTAATTTTTTATAAAAAAATGTGAACCAAATACTTTAATTAAAAAATTCATAATATATTTTACTTGATGTATTTACTGAATTAATGTAACGTAAAAACATATATATATATATATTCTGATTTTAACGATTATAATATTATGCCAATTACCTAGGTACTTTAAATTTGGTACAAAATTTTGTGGTACTAACATAATCACTTTCAAATATCCATCGTGTTTGGGGACCCAACTGATCATTAAGGGTATACGTGTAAAGCAAGTACATAGGCTACCTACTATTCTCCGTAAAAATATTGGGCACCCTAAAAATGTAAATTATGCAATGCTGCAATAGATTAGTTTTATCTACACAAATTGTATTTAAGCCAGTCCCTGCTCTTTTACAGCTTACCTGTACAAACACTGTAATATCATTATTTGCTTAAAACGTGTGTTGAGCATATTTTTGTGAAGTACTCAGTAACTTCGTGTTAATAAGTTATAACTGCCTACACGGTTTGCTACCTATATAAATTATGACGAATTAACAAAATAACGGAAGTACACATATTTTACCTTTAATTTTTGGATTTACGCAGTCAATAGGAGTTCTTCGAATACGTCCGGAACAGTTTTGTAGAATAACTAGAGGTTACAATCGATAACGAACCAATAGAGAAAAAATTAATTACTAATTTATATTTAAAAAAATATTTCTCGTTTGGTGTGGCGCATACGACCGGTCAATGATAAGAATGATGTGTCGTTATCTTGTAACGCACTTACGCGCTCATCAGAAGATAAGACCATTAAGTACATATTGTGCCTATATAGTATTTAAAAATAAAAAAAACAACTGACCTTGTTGCTGTCGTTTACGCCTTCGACACAGAAGTCTGCGTCATATACCTGTAACCGTTGATTACAGAATAGGCTACCTCTATTCAGTGTTCTATATTCAATGGCCAATGCTACGACTATTGCTTAACTATTAGTTATGTAGAAAATCCGGATATCCGTATCCAAAATTTAATAACCGAATATTTCTATATTTTCTAGGGGCATACGTCAAACTATTATTTCTTGTTTATTTTAAGTTTCGTCGACTTGAATAAAACGCTGTCTAAAACCTATACCTAAATTAAAAAACAAATATTTAAACTTTTAATAATAATTAAGCAACAAGTTTAAAATATCCGGATTATTCGGATTATTCAGTTACCTAATTTAGATATCATTCGGATTAGGATATCCGGATTACTCGAATAGTATTGGAATCCTGATATTCATAAAAGCGACACCACTATTAACTATTACAATAATACAACGCACTGTAAATTGTAATATTAATCAAACATTTATTTAACAATGCTTAAGCACGGCACAATCGCATATTCGCATGTGTTGTCTCCATCTTACTAACGTACATGGAAAATTATTGTTTAGCATTAGGTAGGTACGGTAGTTTCAATTTGTTGTGAAACAAACTATTAACAAAGCGAATTGACCGATTATATTAAAATTTAAAGGTATAAACACTATAAATAGTATCCGAGTTTTCACGTGGGTTTTTATAATTTTAACGGTAATAATAATAATTATATAATATTGCTTAAAATCATCAAGCAACTGGTACAATTATTATTATTATTTAATATAAAAAAAAAAAAACCCAAAAAGTATAAAAAATGGTAATATATTTTAGTCATTTCTAAAAACAAATAACAGTATTAAATTATTTATATATTTTAAATAAGAACAACAATCATTTAATATAGTAAGATATTTTACAAATAAAAATATTAGGTAGGTAATCAAATAAATAAATATTAAATGATAATTTAATCATTTAAAAAAATTTTACAAATATTAAAACTAAAATTCAGGTACCTAAAATTTGAAGTCATATCGCATTTATGCTAATTTTTTTTAATAAATTTACATTGTATGTTTCGTCATGTTTCTAAACCGAACATAATATAATCTATATTTTTCTTACATGTTTTATTGGAAAGAAAAAGTTTAATATTTAATTTAAATAATAATAATAATAAAAAAAAAAAACAAAGCAACGTTAAGGAATATAGTATATTAACAAAATCTTAACCATTTTTGTTCAATTGAGCTCCTTTGAAAACAATTATTTTAATACCTGCATTATTATGTTCAACACTCTTTACCTCAAAACTTTACAACTACTATCTAAGTAGCTTTGTAATCACGATTTATGTAATAAATGAGTAAAAATGTTAACAAACTAAGTATATGATTCATAGATAAAAAAAAGAAAAAAGTAGATTAGAAAATTGTTGTATAGCACTAAAAGTAATTTTTTAGAAGAACTATAGAAGTATGAAAAAGTAAGAACTTATGAATCAGCACTGCCAAAATTCATTGTTCTTCTTCTTTTCACTTGGGGTACAAAAAAACGGCTACTACTTTCAACTACTTTTTCTGTAAGAATGGATTTATTGCTAACATCAATGTCTGTTTTTTTAGCACCATTAAAACTAGGCACAGGTTCTGAATAATGATCTTGTATAGTTATCAATTGAACACGTCTTCCTTTCTTTGTTTCTTGTTTATCATCTGAGGTTGAGTGCATTATTACTTTTCTCAAATTTGATTGTCTAAAAATGAACCCTTGCTCAACTTCAATATTGATAGATGGTTTAACAGTTTTATTAGTAGGACTCGTTTCAACAGGTGTGTTTTTCAAGGAACTTTCACTAGATTTATTTAAGAGTTTAGATTCTGTGACATTATTTACACACTTATAGGTATCTAAATTGCACGTGGATCGACTATTCTTTTGTTGAGATGGACTAGATGATTCTCTATTATTATTCACAGACATGCATTTAACATACTCAAATTCATTTTTGTTTGAAGGACTCATACAAGTAACATATGAACGTTTTCTTACATTAGTTAGTGCGAGTGTATTGTTATCCTTTTCTATTACTGCTTTTCTTCTTCTGATAGGAAATTGTTCAACTTCAATATTAACAGATGGTATCTGATTTTTGTTTTCGCAAGTAGATAATTTTTCATTGCAAAGTATGTCTGTTGAAATATGTTTGTTACTCATTTTTGAGTCACATTTATCTTTATGGTCTTTAAATTCTTGAGTGAATTTATTTAATCTGTTTAAAGAGCTATTATCACTTTCTAATACTTTTGTTTTTCTTATAGTTGAAACTTGTTCAACATCAATATTTATTGACGAAATTGGATTTTTGTTTTCATAAGAAAATAATTTTTGGTTAGGAAGTTTGTCTGTTGAAAGCAGTTTATTATCTGATTTTGAATCATACTTGGTTTTATTCAGAATACATGATGACTGGGCAACTTTATTAAATTTATTTAGAGTATCATCTTTTTTTAATACATTAGTTTTTCTTGTGATTGGAACTTGTTCAACTTCAACACTGATAGATGGTATCACAGTATTATTAGGACTTGTTTCAACAGATGTATTTTTAATGGAACTTTTATTAGATTTATTTGAGTGCTTGGAATCTGTGGTATTATTTGTACACTTAAGGGTATCTAAATTGCATGTGGACTGATTATTCTTCTGTTTAGATGGACTTGATGATTCTTTTGAATTATTCATAAACAAACATTTAACATTCTCTGTTGATTTATTTAATTTATTTTCGTTTGAAGGACTCACACAAGTAACATTTGAATGTTTTCTCACATTAGTTTGTGCGAGTGTATTGTTATCCTTTTCTATTACTGCTTTTCTTCTTCTGATAGGAAATTGTTCAACCTCGATATTTATAGATTGTACTTGATTATTTTTTTCAGAAGTCAATAATTGTTGATCATGAAGTTTGTCAGTTGAATGTAGTTTATTATCTGTTTTTGAATCATACTTGGTCTCTTGATTTTTATTCAGAATACATGACGACTGAGTAACTTTATTAAATTTGTTCTGAGTATTTTTATCATTTTTTATTACATTAGTTTTATTTTTAATTGGAACTTTTTCAACGTCAATATTGATAGGTGATGTTGTAATAGTTTTATTTGCAGGACTTGTTTCAACAGGTATATTTCTGAAGGAACTTTCACTAGATTTATTTGAGTTCTTGGATTCTATGATATTATTTGTACACTTTAGAGTATCAATATTGTATGTGGACTGATTATTTTTTTGAGACGGACTTTCTATTATTAGTGGTTTATTGTCTGCTTTTGGATTATATTCTGGAGTATTAATATTATTTTTAATAGATAATGACTGAGTGTCTTTGTTTAAAGATTTTATTATTTGTTTTTCTGGTGAATTATTAATCTCACATTGTTTTATTGGCGAGATGTTAATTTGGTTTAATTTTTTAGCACTTTTGAAAATTTTAGGTTGTTTATTTTGAACACCAATAGTAGATGGAGTTATTATTAGTTTTTTTTTCAGTTTAGCTGGTTGTTTTAGTTTTGAAAAAAATGATTTTTCAGAAACATTTTCTTTATCTTTTTCCTTGTTGTCACACTGAATAATTGGAGTAGTATCAAGTTCAGAGTCACTTAATGTTTTGTCTGATTCACAAATTACTAGGGTAGAATTAATATCTTTAGATTCATTATGAATAATAGAAGTTGTCATTTCTTTAAGTATATTTTCATCATAGTTAACTTCTTCATTTTTATCACTTATTATTTTATCTGTGGTAATTGTATTTTCTATATGTTGTGGCATCTGTTTTATGGATAGAGTAGTTTCGTTTTTTTGAGCTAATTTTCGACATAATCTTTTATAGTAAACTGTTTTAGGAATATCAAGGTTAGGCTTAATGGCAATGGTTGTAATATTATTATTATTTGGGTTAAGCTCTTTAGTTTTTTCTACAGTATTCTGGATTTGTTCTGTATTCTTCTTGCTTTCAGATAATTTGTATACTTCAGTTTTTTCAATTTGATAATCATTATTAGAAGAAAACATTTTTGATCTGTATGATTGTGAAACAGCTTGACTAAAATGTTAATAAAAAAATTATTATTAATATTTAATAATGTAATTTCTCAGTAAAAATATAGTCTATATTATTACATACCTTTTTCGAAGATCATCAATCATTTTATCTTTCCTCTGGATCTCACTACTAGCTGTTTTAAATAATGATGTGATATTTTTAGATAATACCATATTAACAGATTTTAAGTGAGTGTTTTCATTTTCCAATTGTTTAATACGTTGTTTCAGTTCTTGATTAAGTGTTTTTAATGTTGTAATTGAGTTTTTCAACTGTAAACATTTAATAATATAATAATGTACATGTAGTTAAGTAACAATGGTATAGATAGGAGGAGAGGTTAGAAAGTTTAACTTGATTGAAATAAGTTCACAAAAATTATTTTAAAAGTTAAGAAATTCTTTGCCCTCTTCCAACAATTTGATTTTAATAAAAAATAAAATAGAATAATTATCAAAAACAATCTGAAGTAAGACGAATAATTCTTTAGAATTTTAAAAAATATTTAATTTTTAAAAATTAATATATTCAAGAGAGTATTTAAAAACATTTACTCAAATACTTTACAAGACTGGTCATACGACAATCGATTATGGATAAATTTATAATGAGGATAATTATAGCTTAAATTTAACTATCTATACTATAAGTATTTCAGTAATACTAGTATAATAGTATCAATAATTTATTGAAATTGATTTTTATGAATTTATACATCTTCCAACATTTGAAACATTGTTAAAAAATACAATGCATATCATTATGTTTTTAATATTTTTGTGCTAATCCAATAGTACAAATTTACTAATATATCTCCATACATCTTTCTCCAGATAATACATATTTGGGAATATTTTTGAATTGACTTTCATTTCTGTTAAGATTAGTGAATACTGAATACACACTATACAAAATGTGCCACGCAATTCATAAATGCTACTAAGTACTAAATATAACAATTACATTTATCATTATAAAATTATATAATTCAAATTAATATTTATACTTACGTTATCAATTGTCAGGTCGTACTCAAAATGAGGAAGATCATCGTACAAAGATAATAAACCCATTTTTCCATCAATATTAACTTCACAAATGCAGTTGAGTAATTTTTTTTCTTCCTTTTCATTTTTACGTTGCATGATTCAATACAGTTATTAACGAAGTAATAACAATAATAATTTTTTATCGTAGACACATTTGAGTAAACTAAAAAAAATATTATCGCAAAGATCAAGTACAAATCTCATACAGGTACTGTGTATGAGTTAATATTTTCAAAAAACTAATTTAACTTGGACAACGACAAGAACGCATAGATTAAAACAATTATTACGATATAATGAAATATACAGAGTATAAAATTATACAGTTTATTTTAATTATTAATTAAATAATTTACAGATTTAGTAGTTAATACTTAATACAACGACAGTCGACAACAACAACAACATTAAATAACTGAACAAATGATAACGGCACAGCTTCGCGGGACAATTTGTGATAATAGTATTTGTGTTGAAAATAACAACATTGATAGAGAATACTTTTGAATATTTTTATTAATAATGACGTCATAGATTCGGTTGTTATTTCGTGCAAGGATTCGTTTTAAGCACACTGAAGTAAGAAACGGAATAATGAATTATCATTGTTTTGGTTTTTGAGTTCTTCAAATACGTTAGTAATTCACGATTCACATTTTACAAATCATTTTTATTTTTCATTGTGAGTATTGTGACATTTGTGACTTCTTTAAGTTGTAATCTAAGAAGTAAGAACATTCAATTTTAATTTAAGGACATATTATGATCAAAATCCAGTAACATATATGTATATATGCTTACACTATCGTTAACGCGTTGATATCGCGACAGCCGTCACAGAAAACATGCGGATTTTTATTTTTGCATTTTGTGTCCCAGCGTTTGACATGTGAAAGAAAATTGAGTATTGACCTGCATTTATACGTTTGTTAATAAGATTCAGTTCTTTGAAATGATCGTTTTTATGTTCAATCATCTATAAATCAAAATTTAAATTAAATTTTCTCTATCATTTACACTAAGTTATTGCTAAAGTACCTGTTAGTTAAACAAAGAATTTTAATCATGAGGTATGTACTTGTTCAAAAAATTATTTCAGTGTGGGTTATACATTCACATAATTCATTTTACAGGACTCCGCCAGAATTTCATTCAAAAAAATCATGTAAAAAGGATTTAGTGAAAGACGCCATTCAGTTAACAATTAGTGTTAATCGGATGAAGCAACATTTTATTTGGGGAACTGTTAATGTCATAGTATTGTCTATGCTCACTTATGATTTGTAAGTTATTATTTTGTACTTGATTAAGAAAAATTGTTTATTCTTTTCATGTTTTTAAAGTATATATTAGTCAGTCCAAAAGTATGACAACATAAATCCTAATTTTTCTTAAAAATAAAAATGTATAGTTGAAAAAAAATACTTAAATTTCTAGATTGGCCTTACCATATTCTTGGTATACTCCGTGGTGGAGATTTGTTGAATCAGTGTCATCAATAGTAATACTGTTAAGTCTTTTATATCATTTATTGTCCCTCACAAAATTATGGATAACCACTAACACCTTACACTTGTCGCCAGAACACTTCCAGACACTTGGTTTATCCAACTGTAAGCATACAATTAAATTTATGTAATAAAATAGTTAAAACATACATTCTTATTTATTTTAGCTTATATAAAAGTAAAATCACCAGATACGTCATCAAGTATATTAACACCTCCTGCAACTACAAGTACACCAATTAACTGGATATCTAACAAATGGAACAATCAAAAGTTTCAAATTTCACCTGGTGAGTTACTGTTCCAAAAATAAATATAAAATATAATTTCAAAGATTCATTAATGATCCATTTTAATACATTTAATTTAAAAAAAAATTACTATTATGGATATAAAGACATATTTTAGAATAAACTTTGTTGTGTAAACATAGCATAATTATGTACCGTTCACTTTTATAACTTGTTACTATGTCATGAATAAATATAATTTCATTAATAATATTTTATTTAAATAAATTTGACGGATTAACTTGTTTATTTTATATTCTTAAATTTTTCAAAATAAAAATTATTATTGAAAGAATACCATACCCATTGTGGGTTGTCTCAGTCTTACTAATATATAACATGTCAATTTTTTGTTTAATAGAACCAATTTAGTGTACTTAGCTTAGACATTAAAGTGAATGACCTATTATCAAACTTAAAGGTAAAAATGTCTACCCTCATCAGCTTTTTAGGATATTTTAATTTTTAAGCAAATTATGAGTATATAAAATATTAATGTTTAAAAGTGCTCTTAATTCACTTAAAAATTAAAGTATTGTAAAATACCTACGAGAGAATATTGATAATTTTCTTACCTTTAAGTTTGATCATTGATAATCTCATTCTAATATTTAAGCTAAACACATAAAATTAGTATAAATTTGTAAGATGGAGACAACATATGCTGTTATGGCTTCCTCATAAGATTAAATTTAATATGGTCAGTATTTGCCTACAGCAACCACTATAGCACCAAGACTATTACACTTATTTTTTTTTTTAATAAAAATATATGATCATGTACCTAATATTAAGTATTTTTAATTTATTGGTACATAAGTTTTAAGTTACTAATTATCAGATTATTTTAATTATTTAATATTTGTAGACAACTTTGGACCAGAGAAACAAAATAGAAGTTCAACTAAGTATATAACCAATACAAATGATGAAACTATAGAAGATTTATCTACCTTAGAACAATACCTAAAAGACTATGACAACAAAAATAGCTTTTCTTTTACTGGTAATATTTTATTATAATGCTTGACTTTTAATGCAAATCAATTAATGTTAATTTTTTGATGTGAAACATCTTATGGCGCGATACAGTAGTGAGACTGACTATGGCATGGCGACGCGTCATAGTATATAGTCATTTTACTTTACTTAAATAATTATATTTGTTTGAAGTTCATTTCACGATGTCTGATATCAGACACAGAATGTTTGGATTTATATTTAAGTGCACTTATGACTTTTAACTATAATTAAATTGAAAAATAAAAAATTTAAAGATTATTATAATTTTACAACAATTATTTTCTGAAAATAATAAATTAAGACAATAATTAAATTGTACTTCTAGAACGCGATTCTGAACAACGAAGCATGTCTTTATGGGAACGTTCTGGTTGCTCAAACACATCTATTTCTTCAATGCTACAAAATTCTATTTATCAAGTAGCATCATCGCGTAAGTTGGTAACATACAGAATATTTTGAAGCTTAAATGTTTATTTTTTTTTTTATTTTTTTTTTATTAGCTGAACAATCAAAATCTGAACTTAATGAGAGTACTTCTACTGTAGCTATGGCTTCAGAAGTATGGCGTAAATTTAAAGTTGATAATAATAAAGTTGAAAGATGGTCTGTTAATTTGAGAACTGTAAGTTGAATTTTAATTTTATATTTATTAATTAAGTTTTAATAAAATATTGGCTTTTCTTAGTGGATTTCACAAACAATTATTTCTCGATTGGTAAAAGAAATTGAAAGTGTTGATCGAGCGTTATATAATCAAGGATTTGTAGATGTATCAATAGGAAATGTTGGTTTAGAAAGACTTAAAAAAACAGCACATACAATACAAGTTGCTCAAACTATACCTAGTTTACTGTATATTATTCCGTATTTTGAAGTATCTCCAAATCAAGAATATGTAGTTCAACGCATAAGAGGTAAATAAATAAATAAATAAATAATAATGTTAACTATTGCTTTTAATAGAAGTAAACCATGTCTTGAAAACACATAACAGTTGATGCATTTCTCATCTATTTGACTTACCAATAATATGTTGGTGTCGAACAATAACAATCACTGAAAACAATTACTGATACATGTAGTATATTCATTCTTATAATTATTTATGTTTCTTTGTTCAAAATGTCTTATCTTTCATAATAATAGATTAAAAAATTACTGTTTTTCTAAATAAAAATATTTTGTTTTGATACAGTACATAAACATAAACATGTCCAAATTAAAAGACTATAAAATTTATTATTTTATTGTTTCAGAATTAGCTAAAGGTCCTTGTTTAACTGAGTATCGATGGAATGCTGGTGGAACATTTAAAGGAAAGGAATGGAATAGTGAATTACCATCTGACGCAGTTGTAAGGACTATTTTATAAAAATGTGTGATTAAAATTAATTAAGTTAACTTATTAATATAAAACTATTTTATTTGTTTTTAGCTAGTAATGCATTTATTAGCTACATACTTAGATTCTCAATTATCTCCGTTAACACGTCTTAAGGGAAAAAACCCATTTTCTGTTCAACACCTGATTAAATATCCAGAAAAATTAAAATCTGATAATAAACAAGTGGTAATATTTCAACAATCTAATATTCCACCTCATTACATTTTAAAAATTGGTAAAGAAACACATAATTTTCCAAAGGTAATACATTTTACTAACATAATTTATTATGAATTACACATTTTGAGCTTTATGATTGATTTGATAATAGAACTGTTAACAATTATGTAATATAAAAAGTAAAGTAAAAAAAAATTTTATTAATTTTTAATTTTGTTTCAGGGTCGTAATAATTTTTTCTTTACGGTCTTATTGTTCCTACATTACATAAAAACGACTGAAAATGGATTGTTGGAGAGTGTCAATCTTGGAAAAACTGGAGTAAATATGCTCTGGATTATTGAATAAATTTAATTGTATTGTTAATTTATTTTTTAAATGCTTGTAAGTTGTAATATACTTTATTAAATATTTCTCATCAGAATTTTTCAGTTCTTTTTAAATTTCTTAACCATGATAAACCTTTGTCAGTTTCATCTTTAGGGTTATATTCCAAACCAATCCATTCATTGTAGTTAAGTTCTTCTAATAGTTGAAAAATATAACTGTAATCTATTTCACCTGGGGTATTTGGTTCATTTCGTGCAGGAACTTGAGCCAATTGAATATGTCCTACGTAAGGTAGCAAGCTCTTGATGTTATTTGTTAGGTCTCCTTTGATCTGTTGTAAATGAAATATGTCTAATTGTAGTTTCAAATTAGGGCTATTAATTTTGTTCAAAACGTCAATTGCTCGTTCATATGAATTTAAATAATATCCTGGAGCTGAATATTTATTGATTGGTTCAATCAAACCAATAATGCCTTTATTTTCAAAGATTTGTGCAGCATAAGTTAAATTTTTTTCATAAGTCTGATGATTAACTTCTGTTGGTTGAGCAACGATGCCTGCCATTACATGGATCTTTGAACAGTTCAAAGCTTTTGCATAAGATATAGCCGAATCAATAGATGAACGAAATTTATCCTCCATACTTGGAATTGCTGCAAAACCTAGTTCAAAAGTTTCACCTCTGGGTGCATTTATCAGGATTTGTTGTACATTGGCATTTGTTTTTGCTTGCACTAGTTTCTCTAAGGAATCTGAGTATGGAAATGCGCACTCCACAGAAGTAAATCCGGATTTAGCCGCCAAACTGTACCTCTCCAAAAGACAATTTGCCTCTTGATACATAAATGATAAATTAGCGCAAAATTTCAAATTCATATTAAATATCGTGTCAGAATTAATGCTCTGTGAACATCAAACACTTCAGCTGAACCGTCAACTCCGAAATTGTGGCTGTCAAAAACGAAGTCTTCAACTCGAACAGATTAAAATTTTAAAAGGCCTATCGCCGGTTGTATTATAAATACCAAGTATATTATGGTTTTCGGTTTATTCAATGATGTGAATGCTTGAAACTTCGAAAATCGAAGAATTTCAAAATATAATAATCTATATTCGAATTTCGAGTTTAACAATATTACAAACAATACAAACACGAGAACGTAATATGAATGAAATTTGAACTTTCGAGGCGGGTGCGTGGCGTATCACCGAGGATATTTAGAACAATTTACTATCACAAGGTCAAAACAACTTTTCAAAGACGATCGTATTCGTCGTACGCACCAACCTCTTTGCGTTTCATCGCACCCCCTTTTTTTTTGTTTTCTCCGCCCACAAAATATCACTCGAAACAGTCCAAACTCCAAACCGCAAACACAACAATACATCACAGTCATCACTCATCACGCTAATCACATAATACAGATTATAATAGGTATATAGGCAGTAAGCACTAAGCACTATAATATTATACAGACGGTATACGACAATACGTATACAACAGCGAATACTGGAACTGGATACGTTTAGACCTATTTAATCTTTATTCAATGTATGTGCATCGCGTCCGTCACTTCACTCACTTCACTACTTCAGCAGCGGCGATCAGCGATTCCCCGTCAGTCTGCATCCTGCTCAAATGACCGTCCCGGCAACGCGATCTTGAAGTCCATTAATACTCTCAATCGTAATTTTGTAATTATTATAATCGTTTTTTAATGAGACGTGAATATTTGTTGACTGTTCAAATTATGTCTACTAACCAATAACCGTCATTAGCCATATTATCTCGGTCGAACGAATTAATTATCGTATTATACAATTAGCGTTGACCTTTGCACCCGTCGTCTAACGTCTTCATCATGAGTGCCATTAAAAGGATTGTGTCAGTCGTATATCTGACAGTAGTATTGGTCACATTGGTTCAGTGTAAGTACTTTCCGATCCGTTGGAATCGTCCGGATTCCGCACGTCGTGTGTTATTGTGTATCGAACAAAAATCTTTCTGTTTTCAGGTGAAAACTGCACGGTGAAAAAAACTTCTAATGGCACTTTTACTAGAGAACGTCTAATGACTTGCCCTTCATCGGAATCGGCGAAGGATGCAAAATTCTGTTGCTATGACAAGTATGATAGTGTCGATTGCTGCAATGGTGCTGACCATTTACGTCACATGTAAATAATTTTTCTATTTATTCGTCTAAACATTTAGATATAATTTCCAATCTTAAGCTAGTCGCAGCTTAATAACTGTAGCTTTAGACATTCAACAAAAACTATAAGTGAACGTTGTATAATTTATCGTATTAATTTATTCATTTTTAAATTTTTTTTAGAATTCTAAAGTATTTGCCAGACCTGTTAACACTTTTGGTCATAATCGTTGGTCTAATATTGGCATGTTGTATTTTTTGTATCTGCATTCCGTGTTATTGCATCATGAGTCGTCGTCGCCCGAGTTATAGTATGTATATTCTTAAAATACTCTAGTTTAAGATATAATTGGTTTGAGATGTAAATTATATAAGTATAATCTTACAGTATCATAATAACACTTTTCAAAGAATGGTCAAATTTTAGGGAAAATATGTTTCAAACTTAACTATGTGTAAAAAATCATTAGGCCTGATACTATATATATGATTTATAATGTACGATTTTATTTATTTAATTTTTATATCCTAAAAAATATCAATAACATTTACAAATATTTAAAATTAGAAACAATAAGATATTATAGTTATTTAACTATTAATTATATAAAAGGACATTTATTTAGTAATACTGTATAGGTTAAAATTCCATTTTATACCAATGTTTTGTTTTTGCATGATTCATTTGTGACTCATCTACTGCAATTTACAACTATTAATATTAAACATGAATATAGCATTCCTATCTTCATTAAACATATATTTAAGGCTATCAAAATGGAGATAAAAATATGATTTTTGCTCGCATAGAAGTTTCTGAGCGATAAAGCCACTAACATCCTAATAAAAATGATTCATAAGTTTAATATCAATATTTGCAACACATACACATTTTATAATACTAATTCGAACTTAAAATACTTAATTAAGTTGCTAAACCCTAAAAAAACATAGGCAAACCATAGACTTACAAATTTAAATTAATATCCTCAAAGTATTTTTTGTATCATTAAAATCCCAATAGTAATCTAATGTTTAAGTATCAGTATACTATGGCATGTCTATTGAATTATTTTAGTTTATTGCTAAAATATTTTTCACTAAACTTATTTGAAATTTAAATTGCAGAAATATACAAGTTGAAAAATATATTTATTTATTTATTCTATTACCTCATTTTTTTAACAATTATCACTTGAACTTAATAATTTATCACAGATTCCTTATGAAATCCAAAATTCGATGATTATTTTATAATATAATAATAATTAAGCCAACTACTTCTAGAAGTATGATTATACTTATAAATTCTGCCTAGTGAAAATGTTATACAACCCATTTATAATAATTGATTAATTAAGCACAACACCCAGTATTTCCACTTAGATTATTCCACTAGCCAACATTATCAAGTGCAGCAGTACTAATTTTAGTACTGCTACTATCAAAAGGACAATAGTTTCCAATCTACCACTTAAAAATGCTAAAATTTCTTAAAAAGAGGAATAAGGCTTCAATTGTAAGTTCATTTGTGCGTTCTCTGTATGGAGTATAGTGTATGTTTATATAACTTGGTTATCAGTTTTATACTATGTAGATTTATTTAATTTAAATTACATTTTTATGAACCAATGGTGAGTAGGTATGGATAATAAAAATCTAAATGAATTGTTTCTTCTTAATTGTTGTATGTACAGTATTTTTTCATGAAAATTTAAGGTTAATATTTTATTTTATTTTTTCATAAAAAAAGTCTTTGGTCATACTTATAAATTTACTAACAATTATAACATTCTTCTACGAGTTAAGCAATATTGATCTATTTTAATTATGGTATATAATATTATATTTATATTCTATATCACTATATTAACATAATAAAGTCCTAGAATTAAAAAGAGTAAAAATTATTTTATATTATACGTATTTACATTTTACATTATCTGTTTATTTCATGCTAACCAAATTATAAGTATTTATTTGTTAATGATATCTCTGATTAATTTTTTCTAAAAAAATGTTTCAATCTACTTGTTTAAATATTTAAGTAAAATATACTTTATATTTATCTACTATATGATATAGAAATCAGTACTAATACTAGGATTATGATTATATCAATGTTTAGTTCTTAACTAGAACAATAGTTTGTGTTTGTACTTAAAAAAAAAAAAAAAGATAAAATATTTATATTTATACCCTTTATCTAATGCCATAAAATATTCTCCATACTCAAATAATAATATGGTTTCATTATTTTTAATAACAAATATTAGTATTAGTACTTTTACTCTATTTAGTATTCATACCAACTTATATAAACTAATAATTTTAATTTTATAACTTATAATTTAATATAAAAATATAATGTTATGAAGATTTGTTGAACAAAATCACAGAAAACCTATATTTTGCTTATTAATGCCTTTAAGTTTTTACAATATTAATGAAATAACAAAAAAATATAATAATTTAAATTCTTAAAGACAACTTGTTGAAAGACTTTGAACAACTCATTAAAATAATAAATTAAAACTGTTCTGCTTTTCAAATACAACCAATTCCATCCAAAATTTAAACCATAATTATATTTTTTGTAAAATAGTTCACAATAATTTATTTAACTTCTAAGTTCATGAATATAGTGTTTTATGATCGTTTCTGTTTATACCCATTACCCACATATTTCTGTTACGTAATATTATATCATTATAAATTATTATTATTAATAACTGATTCATAAATCAATTGTACATCTGTAATTATTAGAGCCAAGTGGTAAATTGAACTCAATTTATTTTTTGAACCTATACTAAATGTAATGTAAACTAATAAATATAAAAATCTGTTAATAGAATTTCCTTTTTTTTTTACATAAAGCTTATCTTTATTTTATTATATTTAATATTTATTAATTCAAATAAAGGTATAATACTAAGTAAACGATCTGCCTCTGTAATAATTAATTAAAAAGTATACAAAATTTAAACATTTACATGATATTATTATATGAAACACTTACCATTTTAAATGTTTAATTTAATGTGTTAATCAATCAATATATTTATAACTTAATTTACGTTTTAATACATGACAAAAAAATTTATGCTTGAAACTTATCTAAACATAATAAATTTTGTATTAAAAGTAGTGATAAATTAATTTATTGTATAATTTGAATATTTTATATTTTGTTTTAATCAGAAGATTCAAATGATAATGCGAATATGGTTGCTGCTGTTTCTTTGCCCAATGAATCGCAAGAACAAAATATACCAAAAAAAGAAGTTACTCATCATTTACCACCAGGAGCTTATCCTGTTTATCCACAGTTTATGGGTTAGTACACTTTATAATTGTTGTATTTAAAAATCATTAATATGGGATCAAATATTTTATTCATGTTCTGTGTATTTTGTTATTTTGTGTGAAAACTTTCCGTCAATATTTTTTTTTAAGTTGAATTTGCTTTAACTATCATTGAACACTTAAAATTCTTTCTAATAATTCATCCATCATTATAAATAATAATAAAAAAAATAAATAAATAAAATACTTTTTTTGTAAGATACCTTAATTTCTTCAATACTTATTTGGTAACTCAATCTTAATAAAGTTTAATAAATCTTTTACCAATAATATAATATTTAAGTTGTTATTATTAAATTTCAATATTTTTAATAAATAATTTGTTGGTGATTTGTCATTTACAAACTAAAATGTTATGTTAAATGAAAATAATATTTGCATTTTCCATACACGCGTGTCATTGTTATTATTGACATGGGTTTTATTTTTTATTAATTTGAATTTAAATAATTATTTCAGGAATGCAACCATTAAAATCGACTGAAGTAAATTGTTAATTCATACATCACAATAACAATAACTGTTCTTATGAAAAGCCAAAGCATGTTATTAATATTATTATATTTATTTGTGCCATCAACTAAGTAACGAAGGTTTGTGAACGACTAAAATTTTTCTTTTTTCCATATCTTTAAATTTTTGACTTTTAAAGTCTGGCTATCAAAAGAATATTATTATCTTAAATATTAAGTTACCTAGTTTTGAACTGATTATGGTTAGAATTACTTTTCATATATGCATTAAAAAATAAGACTTGTTTGCCTTAAAATAATATACCAGCACAATATTTTGTATATATATTTATGATTTATCATCAAATATATGAGTCAATTAAGAAATAAATATTTTGAAAATAAAAATAGGAGTATTTTTGTATGTTTTGATAAACTATTTTTTTTTCTCAAATTACTTTTTGATTATTCAAAATTATTATTATTATTATTTTTTTTTTTTAATTTCAAATGTATACTAAATTTAAATATTCTAAATTGTTTTATTTAATGTGTAATAATTAGTTTTAGTTTTCTTTTCGTTGTTCCTGAGTTTTGACGATTTATTTGAAAGAAATAAAAATCGCAAGGCTGTAAATTTGTTTTCATATTATTTGTTTTCTGCCTTATTTGGTTTATTTTGTTGGTTCCTTTTCTAAACATTATTTGTCAAATACTGAAATACCAAATACGTATTAACTGAATTGTGATGTTTTACATGTGATTGACTGTCAGAATTAATTTTCATTTTAAATGAGTACTATTTTTGTGTACATTTACACAAATACCAAGATTAATATTTATTCTAATAGTAATTCAGTATCGAATTAAAATGTTTTATTTTGTTTTGTAATTAACAAAAGTTGTATGATCTTGAAATGTAATGTAATGTCTAAATAATTAGTGATTAATGATTATAATATGACGACATGTGTTTTGCTAAAACATTATTTATAATATTTTTCTCTTGAAAATTATATGGTCTGAGTTAAAACTACCATTGTAATCCGATACTATTGTATCGCTTAATAATCTCACTATGGTTGTGTATAAAGATTTCTAATTGATTCAATGTTCGTATTTGAGTTCAATAGTTGTACTATCTTAATAATAAACGAACGTTTGTATTTAATTAATAACTGATACAATGATTTTTGATAAGAATGTGTATTTAAATGTAGAATGTTTTTATTAATATAAGGTTATAATAATATTGTCTTATTTAAACAATGTACAATAATTTGCCATTTTATAAACATTTTTTTTTTTTTTTAAAGACTGGATTTATATTGTATTCATATTTTTAAGTAATGTAAAAAAATGTACAAATTTTTTTGAATTTGTTCATATTTTTATATGCAGTAAAACCTCCTTATAACGATGATCGAATAACAGAAAAATCAGTCAGCCCCCGAGTTAATCCGTCGCAAGAAGATTTTACTGTACTTTTATTACTTAATAACGACTATGGTTTTCTTAATTATTCCACAGTTTGATTGTAGAACTTTAATTGATATTGAACTTTATTTTATTACATTGCCATTTGTTTGATGTAAGATGTTCTCGCAAACGTTTTGTACGGACAAGCCAATGGTACTCAAAACAGAAAAATAACGCCACAATATATCTTATGTTTAATTTTAATGTTTCTATCAAAAATATAACCATGCAAGAATTTTAAATCGACACGAATTATTATTATGCTTTTTTTATAATAATACTTAGCCTGATACAACTTACTTATTATGTATACATAACTATATATAAATATCACATTTACATCATAAATTTAATATTGTACCTACATAAAAATTAATACTATTTTTATCTATAATTATAATTCTACCTGTGTAGAAAACATATGATTTGTATACAACATTAGTAATTTAGTTTTAATAAAACATTTATAATCCATATCAATCGATTTGTTATTTCGTCTTTCCCCTTCGACACTCTTTTATGGTGGAATTTAAAAATTAATATTTACAAGATAAACGGATCGTGTGCAATTATGAATGGATGTAGTGCACTGTCCATTCATCGATTTAAAGTGTTTACGTTTACTCCAGTGCGGACCTGGGAAGTCGAAATTCACCAAAGTTGCATTGTCTTTTCGACGCGCAATATGACTTAGCAATCTGTATCAATGCATTCTTCATTAATTATGACTTAGACTAGGATTTATATGCAATAAATAAATGTAAATTGTGCGTTTGGTTTATTAAAAATTTAAAATATGCATAAAAATGCAATTAATATGATAAACGCCAAAAATATATACGAAATATATAGGTAGATACTCAAAAAAAAAAAAAAATAAATAATACGTTTTGAAATTAATAAAATATTATTCTTGACTATCCACGCTATTCAAATGTATTACACGAAACAATTACACGGTTATTTAAATTTTCAAAACTGAACGGTCTTCAGTTATAATAATGTGTTATTATATAGGCAGAGCCGGATTTACGCCCAGGGCAGCAAATTTTTGGGGGCGGCAAATTTTGTAAGAAATGGAAAAAAAAATCGTATAAATATTTTATGCATTTATGTAACTGCGTAAATTAATATTATTGTAAAATATTTAATAAAACAGAAGTAAGTCCGTGAATTTGAGAAATAAATACGAGTAATACTACATCTTTTTTCTTGAGATTGGGGCGGCATATTTAAAAGGGCCTAGGGAAGCGTCTGTTCTAAATCCAGCACTGTGTATAGGTATTTTTGAACAGTGTCAATGCATGCGGTGCACACTGTCACACGACAAAAACGTCTATATATAGTGAGTAATGACGAAATGTACCATGAAATATGCATTTTTCGCATTTTTTAAAGTCGAAATATGGAATAATATGCAAAATAAAAACACCACAGTTCACCTCATCATGAGGTGATTCTTGGACATAACTGACAGAACTACAGAAGTAATAATCGAAAGTTGCATATAAATCATAGTCTCAGTTATATGACTATATATTATAAGCGCTAAAACTTTTGAATCTCAATCGACGCCAGTCACGCTCGTTGGTTTATGAACTTTGTGGGTTTTATCGTTTTATACATGCGCGAAGTCCCCCCCCCCCCACCATTACCAAACTTATTTGCATAATTTTGGTGTCATTTTTTAATTTGTAGCTCAAAAGGGTGAGGGGGCTACATGAAATTGGCCCCCTTGTCTTATTTTGCTTATATAGTGGGCTGGGAAATAATTTGCAAAATGATAAATTTAAAAAAAATTGGTCATGGTGGGGGGCAACTTCACGCAAGCTCGTTTTATATGGCTTTATATTATGTTGTAGTATTTTTTAGTCTAATATTTATTGTATATGCGTTCTTATACCTACGCGGCTACCCTTCAAAAAGACAACGTTAAATCGGTGGAAAGCATTAGAATTTAGTCACTGTGACCAGTATTGGTTATCAGAAAACTGTTTGATTTACTTTGCTCCGAATTTATTATATTTTATGTTTTGTCGAACATCGTGACATAGCAACCTCTTTGATCACGCCAAAGTATTTCGAGGCTTATGTTATAACTTATATTTACATTTCGATGTTACAAAAAAAAAAAAAAACCCTCCCCCCCGATCAAACGAAAGCTCGAAAAGTTCGTTTTAATTATACGATTTGACAACGTCGCTGTATTTTGAGTAAATTTTGTCCAAAAATTTTGTAGACAAGTGTATTTGAAAATGTTATTATTATTATTTAATTAGCTTTTAGCTAATCATGAAAAAAGCTGTTCGTTCGATATTAAAAAATTACACGCGTAGATATACAATTTACATCAGTGGAGTCGTTTTGATGTTCGAGAAATCGTTAAAAAGCAGCCAGACGGGCTAGTTATCGGTAAAAAAACATGACTAATGACTAGGTATAATGAATAATGAATATTATCAACAATTTTGGCCCCCCCTTCCCCTCTGTTCAAAACTTAAATAGCAACGACGCGTATCTCGGGGGTAGGTATAAACTATTATTATTCGTCCACAAAATCACCGATCTTCTTCACACGTTTTTGCTGCGACCGACTAACTTTTGATACTTTTATCAAGTTTTTTTAGGGGCGAAAATCTCGATTAAAATAGTGAGGAACCATCGAGGTTGCCGACTGTGGTCGCGCAGAAATAACACGCACTTTTGGCTTTTATCGACACTCTAAAGTCTATAAAGGGTTTAAATGGAAAATTATTGAGTATGCGTATACATATAGGAATTTAGCACGACCCTGCACAGTATGCAAATGAACAGTAATTAAATGAAAAAAATAGTTTATAAACACGTCTTGCCGTAAGTCAAATATCAATATATATAAATATTTATAAGTACAATTTGTTTTTCGATTTCGATGAATTTTTTTTGATTTTTTTTTTTTTAGGGTAAGGAAATTTATCTATCGGATACCGCTTCTATATATGTGTACGTATATATATCTACCGTTGCTGACAGCACAGTCGCCGACTTATGAACTTTTTAAACCTCGCCCACGACGAACCATTCTCTTTCCGGACATCCCCAATCCGCATCCTATTTTCCAGAGATCGAGCCCGCGCCCATTCAACCCCGGACCCGTGCACATCCCAGCCGTCGGTGTCTACGGAACTCTGGCGATAGTCGTTTACCGTCAAGTCCACCGCGTCAAATTCGTCGCTAGCGTACGACACTATGACCCCGCTGCTGTAAAAGCCGGACTCTTGCAGCTCATCGGTGACCTGCAATTCGGCAGCGCAAAAGTCGAATACTCGCTGGTCGGTAGCCTGCAGCTTCAGCGGGTTCGGAGCTTGCAGGCCGTCCGTAGCACTGTTGCACGAGTTCCGGTCGGCCGCCTCGACTACCTCGCTGTGACTGGGGCGCTGCTTCCGGGTCGGGGCTGGACGGTTGCACTCGACCGGCGACGGACGATGCAACGCTTCCGTGCTGGTCACAATTAATCGTTTCCGGGCCGCGGCGTGGACTACCGCCGCGTCCGTCTTTCCGGCCGCGGTCATCGATTTGTACGCACGTCGTGATCTCTTCGACGACGGTTGTCGAATGACGACCTCGAACTGCGTCGGAGTCGCCAAATCGAGCACCTGAACGATCGATCGATCTGCACATTTGCAACTGTCGTCCGGCGCCGTCACGGTGCAACTGCAGTTCCGATCTCCCGTCATCGCCATGTCCGACGTGTTGTTATTGATATCTATCTATACACATTTGACATTTCGCTTCGCAGGTTCTCCGTAGGCCGCGTTTACGCGGTATCAGTGGAGTGTCAAGTGTAATGTTCAAATTCCCGTTCCGTCGCTGCAGTTGTTGTGCAGCTGTGGATATAGCGTTAAAAGTTAAAACGCGTTAATACTTAGATATATAATAGTATTATTAGTATTTATATACTTAAGTCCTAAATACTAACCAATATAATATTAATCGGGCGAAGTGAGAATATAAAATATATTACATAATATCATATAGAACCCCAAAAACTGGTGAGTTTAAAAACTCGACCTCTCATAGCGACTCTATACGTTACCCCTAAGGGATACATGAGTTTATCTATAAAAAAATGCATAGATAGACGATAGACTTATACGGAAATACTTTTAAATTATTTTGTTTTTATCAAGGCTTTTAATCGTCGAAAAATTATTGCTAAAACGTTTTAGAAAAAGTATATAATTGTCAATAGTCATACGTCTACATATTTAATAAGTTATTATCAAGACTGAAGAAATATATTATATTTCGTACAATATTAAATAATTAATTTATGATAGTCAAAAAGAAATAAAATCCATTGAAATTTGTTAATTGTGAGTAAGTATTTACAACCAATAACAAGCATTATATCAGATAGGTATTTCAGTATTTGAAAAAGTAAGTAGATAACAAAACCTTAAATTAGGCGTAGGTGTTTAAATTTCAAATCCTACAGAATATTACAATCGGTGTCAACCTACCATATTACATATTTTCATCTTAGATTTATTAAAATATTTTAGCGTTTAAAGTTCTACTATGAAAGTTGTATTACACAATTACAATTAAAAATATAAAATATTATTGTACTAAATAGGTACTATTATAATTAAATGTTATAAATTATAATATATTTTACAGATAGGTTAAGTTACTCACCTAATTGTCTATTGTAATTTGTAAAATAATGTGTAGGTACCTACATCGTATTATAAGGTACCTGTATGAGTAAAAACAAAAATATGAAAATATGGTTTTAGTTATTTTGTAATTATTTAAAAACACTATCCGTGAGTAGATATTTAAAACTGTTAACGTATTTTATACACACGATATAGTTATTAGTCAATGACGTGCTCAAACGATAAATACTTTCGAAAAAAATTAACTCAGTCTACCGTAGTATTACTAATATTGAAATAAATTATACTCTAATAGCAATGTAAATATAATATATATCATAAAATATATTCAATAATAATAATAGGCTCGCAGACCGTTAGCAGAATCGTTTTTCATATGCAATGATTTATTGCTGAATTCAAAGTCGTCACACTCCTCAATGGCTCAATGACGACGATACGGTATACATTCTACACATTTTCAGTGTATCAGAGCTGTCAGCTATGTATTTTTTTAGTATGCGTGAACGTACCTATATCCAAGTGCGTAGGTACGTTATAAACCTATATAGGGTCATGCTGTACAAACTTTGAAATTATTTATCAAATCATATAAATTTACAACTCGATTACTATTTAAATAATAACACTGAACACTGATGCAGAGTGCAGACTAAGTGATAATAAATTAAGAGGGTGGAATTCAAAATATTGCAGGTATACGAAAAAGGTTTAGAAACTTAGATACAATTGTGTTGAAAAATTAAATCGGTGCCTAATAAACATTTAAAAGACAATAGTTGTTAATTATCACAATACATACCTTCTTTATTTATTTATTATTTTTACGATTGATTTGAAATTACAGGCGACAGAGCTTCTAATTTATATGTAGGCTACAGCAACATTGCTATTAAAAAAAAAAAAATTATAAAAAATAACTCCTTATAAATGTATAGGTGAATTGATGTAATGAAAAACTATTTATTTTTTTTTTTTTTTTATTGATATCGGTCACTTATTTATTTTTGTGCTTGATACTTATACGTCGGTGACCTTTGTTTTATTTTTTATTGATATTTTTACAAATATAACTTATATAACTATAGGTATGAGTAATTTAAATACATAGGTATAATATATTTTATAATAATATATAGTTTGCTGTTTGTGTTTGTCCTTGTACATATGTGAAATATTTGAAAACGCACTTTTAGAATAATTGTTTAAAACATACTTACATTATTACTATTTCAGTATATTATATATGACTATAAAACCAATTCACAGTTTGGCTGTATAGTACGTATACGCATTATTTCTGTAATTATAATAGTATCTATTCAATTGTTTTTATTTTTCAGTATATTAGCCATAGACCAAATAGTGTGTACCTACACATATTGTCTCTGCACAAGTACACACCAACAGCTCAACAAAACTAAAATAAATAACACTACTTTATACCCATATGAGTACCTACCTAATTGTTTAATAAATAACTAGATTTATGTTATGTGCCGCAAAATACACTGTGATTAAAATATAAATTTATGATAAATCTGTTGACCTCAGTTCACACAAAATTCGCGTATATATGCATGATATATGATGAATTAATGTACAACCAAAACAAATAACGAGATAAGCGAAGCAAAACGAACGTCCATGAACGAAGCCGCATGGTTAAAAAAGTCTATCCTATATAGGCTATAGTCACGGTACCAACTGACATTATATAGGTACCTACGTTTTTATCGGACAAAATAATTACGTTTTCAAATATAAACTGTAGTCAGTAAGCATTTTTGTAATTATTTTTAACATTTAATTAAATCGTACCATTTTGATATTATAATACATCGCGGATTGCGCTACTGTTTTTTTTTTTTTTTTTTTTTAATTATTTCCAATGTATTAATATATTCATTCGTATACGTTGACATGTAATTGTAGAAAAATTAGACACACGACTTTTTAAACGTGATATGCGCTTAGTGTGATATTTTAAAATTAAAATATTTAACAGAACAATAGGAGAGATAAAAACCTAATCAATTTAATGAAAAAAAAATAAACTCGGTCACAAGCTCGTGCGTTTACTAAATAAATACTTAAAGAAATAACAAGTTTTACCTAATTCGGAGAAAACTAACAAACGAATGTTTTGTATTTCAATACAAACTGTTTTCTAGGTTCTGATATAAACGATATAGTACCTCGAAATTTCATTCAAATAACTAATATCGAACTTAACTCTTATAACTACGATTCTCTAAGCTTACCTGAGTCCTGTATTGAAAAATTAACTTTGAATTTTTGAAATTTGAATGTGATATATGCTCGAAATAAAAACTTGTTCTTAAAGCATTTAATGCTACGATTTTTACAATTCGCTTTACGGTTTGCAGTTACGCGAATTCGATTTTAAGTTACAATATATAGGTAGAGGTACGCGTTGAATGTCGATGTATACGACGAATGGGACGGATATCGAAATTGAATTTATTTCTAAGTTTGTTTCGCTTTTCACGTATATTGAAAGTGTTGCGGACTGCAGTGGTAATATATCTGCTGTTCTTTTTATCACACAGAAGTCAGAAACAAATATTGCATATTATAACAATTTAAATGTATACCTATATTTTTATTTGCATTACCTGCATGTCGTTAACAAACAAGTGTTCGTGTAAATTGTAATTAAACCAATGTGATTTATTCCAACGGGTTAACGACTATAATAATGGGTATACGTCATTATATAATATAAGTATAGTGCATATTATGTTAAGTACTTATACCAATAAACACTAACATTTATTTGCTTTACCTACCTAGATTTTTACTCGAGACATTTTGAACTGTACAGAAATAATCAAATCTATCAAAATATCTCGGTGTTAGAATTTCAAGTTACATTTGTGTTAACGTTGGTATACATATTATTTTGAATATACATAATTATATTTTTTATAATGTGCTTGTGCTTAATAAATCTGTATTATCGTCATAAATACTATATTTATACATATTAAATATGTATTTATAATCAATGATAATAATATTAATAATATGTAAATTCTTATAGTATGGTCTTTTGAAAAATCATGTTTTTTCGAAAAAATAAAATATAGGTAGATACATAAAATTAAATAGCTAATAGGTATAAATAAAATTAGTAATACTTTTTAGAATTTGAAATGTACTCGTAATGTTTTTTTTTTTTATTTTTTTTTTTTTTTGTTGGTAACATAATAAATAATTTGTTTCAAATTATAATTAAACAGTTATAAAGTATTTATCTGTAAAAATGTATACATTTTTAATTTTTTATGTATAAATAATTATCGAGTTGAGCTATCGATAAATTAATAATAACGATACTCGTAACACTTTACAGTTTATATCATACAGATCTATTTTGTTGATTCTAAAATATTGATTATTTTATTACACAAATATTTACTGAATGATGCACGATTTTTTTTCCGTATCATTACTGTATGAAAAATAACAAAAATATTTAATTATCTTGCTATGAGTTACAGTTTATTCCCCCTCTCGCCGTAACCTTTTATAGACTGTATTGCTATAAACTACAATAGATTTACGCACAATCGATATTTTCGTACGCCAATATCAGTTAATATAACGTAACGCAAAGACCTTAAAAATTTTGTAATCGTGATTATTTTACTGAATTAGTGAATTGGACATTTAACATTTCATTCACTTTGTTTTTTATTTGATCAAAACAGTTTCATAACTATCAGAAATATGGTACATTAATTTTTATATAGTGTTAATTGTGAACTATAACTATGATTCGTTCACTGCAGGTATCCCTCCTCATTGGATAACGGGTAGTTTTTAAATTTTAACCTATCCAAGACCAACAGATACGACGTTAAATTATAATAATTAACTGCTCACTAATACTACATACTACTGCCCATATAATGTATAGTCAAATCAACTTAAATTTAATAAACATGTATTTTCAAAAATTTAAAAATTTCGAATGTCATCGTGTATATCACATAGGTTTGTAAAATCAAAGTTGATTAATAACTAAGCTGCAGCCGTATGAAGTCAAAATAAATGTATGTGGTAGTGCAATACGAACTAAAATCGTTATTATTACTCTGAGGCAGCGATTCTCAACCTTTTAACTTCCGAGTATACCGCACCTACACATCTAGAAAATTTTCACTCACCATTTAATTTAGAAATATATTAAAATATTAAAATTTATTAAACAAAAGTAAAATTAAGCATGTACTATTTGTTAAAACATAAATCGACCAAGCATTACAACATTATAGAGATTATCGTTTATCAAAATGCCTATCTTTAATGTGAGTAAAACCGACTATTTTGTTTATAGTAATCAAATAAACGAAATAATATTTTATGTATATAATAATATTTTATTTTATGATAAATATTTATTTTTCATTCAAGTACCACCTTTGAGCTTTCTGCGTACCACTAGTGGTGCACGTACCATAGGTTGAGAAACGCTGCTCTAAGGCATCGTTCGTGGCTCGCGCAGCAAACGATGCGTGGATTATTTTCGTACATTTTGATTCTGACCATAATGTCCGCAAGGTCATGCCGCTTAATTATAATTTCTTTTAACTTTTATAGAATACTTCATACTGTATAAAATATTTTGTATAATTATAGTGCATTTAATGAATACTACATTTTTTAAATTCTCGATATATCTTTATTGATATGATCGTTGCATGATAAATTCGTATCTTTGGTGATTAGGTGGGGTGCTGCCGATTTTATAAGATCACTTAACTCTGCTTAGATCATAACATTGTATACGATCCAAGACATAACTGTACACGTAACGTATTGAATTTTAATAAGATCATTAAATAATAATCGCTAGATCCATGTCCCATGAATATGAACGTATTTACGGACACCTAATCTTCTATTTTGTTTTTTTTTTCTTATCAAATTCAATATTTAATTGTAAAATGTATAGCCATCATATTATAACTGGTGATTTATATGCAAATTCCAGCAATTTTTGTAGAATTAGATATATTCTAATGATAATTGCTCTACTTATTTTGAAAATTATTATACTTTTTAGGTATTTTAAGATAGATATTTAAATATATTGTTATTCTTTCCATTTTTTACAACTATGACATTGTACGTTGAAACAGTTTAAATAATTTAAAGATTCCCATTGTAATTTGTAATTTGAGAGAAGTTTATTTAGTGATTAGTGAATGTATTAGAAAAATTCAATTAGCTCATTTGAAATAGGAATAAGCAAAGGGGTTACTTTCCAAACCACTATGACTTTACATAATATATAAGCTGCAGTAGGTAGGTAAGTAAAGCAAAGTAATAATTTTAATCATTAACTGTTTTTTTTAAATTATTATTAATTATAGAAAAACATTGCATCTTAATTTTAATCAGAATATTTTTAAAGTTTAAACGAGAATTTTTATAAAGAATAATATTATAATTATAAATATAAATAATATAATATATATTTAATAAAAAAAAAGTAATTAGGTATTGTTTATTTTATTTTTCTTACGTATAAATTGTACATTTACTCTTGCAGCGTATGTGTAACTTAATTTTCATTGTAATAATTTCTGAAGTTTGGTAGGTACTTAAAACATAAATATTATCTATCAAGGATAAAATAATGTTACATAATATTATTACACCTAGTAATATTCATAGTAATATAATATAAGAGTTTTGATAATTAATATTTTATCAATACATAATTTATTACTTATTATTAATTATTTAATTACTATAATTAATTACCTAATAATTTTTATTTTTATTTTTAGTTAGATCTTATAACACTTATAACGTATAGGCCGTATAGCAAGTGATAAGACATTCAAAATCTCTTACAAAATATATAAGTTAATGGGAACATGTCAATCATGATTTTTTTCTACAGCTCAGATCCATTGACATAATGATATGTACATATAAATATATAATATAGATATTAAGTATATGATATTTCATTATTACTAGATATATTATGATATGTTAAGTATAGATGAAAGTAAAACGTGAATTGATCCAATCAATCCAGAAACTAAAATATACATTTTTTCGTATTTTATATAATCTGTGTTAGGCTTTGGATTACTGTGAAGAAGGCCTTTACCTCAATCCCCTTCAAAAATGTGTTTAAACCATACCCATAAACATAAGTTAATCAAAGTTTCTAAATCAATAATATATAGTAACAGTATTAATCTATATATCCATAGCTAACGTTTTAATAGTAAGTATATATAATATTAGTTACGGGCATAATTCGAAATCGGACAAACCTCAAAAACGCCCAAGAAAAACGCAATTTGCCAACGATACTTGAGCAAAACGTTATATTCCGGTTTTTGCTTGGTCAAATCTATAGTTGTAACCAATCTTATTTGGAAAAAATTGTAGCGCCTTAAATACTCTGATATTAATTATAAATAATTATAAGATAAATATTATTATTCAATTATAAAAATATGATTTAATACGCATAAATAATAATTAAAATATAATGATACTGGGTAAAATGTTAATTTTAAGAATTAATAAAGTTAGTACATTTAATCATGAGAATACAACGAAAATACATTATTGAGGTGCTTACATACGTGATTAATAATAATAAAATTATATAGTTATTAATTATTATCTTCCAGTTAGCAATATTATATTACTTAAAGTGTATGTGTGTAGTGTGTACCTATAATATAAGAAGTAAGTAAAATACAACAACAACGATAAATTGACTACGTGTGGTCATTATTAATCATAATTAAATCTTACGATAAAATCACTACGATTTTGCCAAAATGAGATTGGTCACAAGACTTACAAGTTACAACCAGTGGCGTGGAATGTACTTAAACAGTATATAGTAAGTGTTGATTACAATTTCAGTAGTAAAATGTTATGGTTATATTTTTATGACCAAATAAAAATTTAATCTAAGCCATGATCAAGTTGTAATAATGAACGATTATATATTATTATTTAATGTTTATCAACTTTGTTGATGGTATTATTTTTATGATTTTATTTTTTGGTTTTGGGCGTTTTGGCCATCAAAAGATAACAAGTACCTAGTCGATTAAATGTCTTCCGAATCTCCAGAACATAAACATTAAGGTCCAATACATTTTCTAAAAATTTGAGAAATATGACGTGTATTTAAACGATTCCTTATTTTATGTATGAGACTAGTACAGTTCATACAAATAGAATAATTAGATTATAAATAATTGCATTGGAATTATTATATTTTGGAATAGTTTAAAGTATAAACTATATGAGGGATAGGTACTGACAAATTATAAATAAATCCATACTTTCCAACCAGTGTTTATTTCAGGGAATAATCGGGAGGAGGGGGGTAATACCCCTAGAAAAATGTAAGTCTTACTACGTCAACTAACAATAAAATAAAATAAATATTATGATAGAGGTTATGGTTGTACTGGTGGCCATTACTCATTAAATAAGATCACTTCTTATGTGGACAAAAACTACAAAAATGATAATGTTCCTATGTAATTTAGATTTATTTTTACTTCCCTTCATTACCTATTTGATC